ATTGCAACCAAAATACGAGGTGCACATCTACATGTTATAGCAGTCCTATATACAAAATTCAACGTTCTGAGGATACTCGTTTTTGAGTTATGCGAGATACGTACGTACGCACGTACGTACATACAGACACCACGAAACATTCTCTTCGTGATTCATTTTAAAGCAGTTTTATAACTTTTCTGGAGGAAAAAGAGTCTTTTATTCTGTCCTTACGTACGCAAAAACATGGTTAAATTGCATTCGAAAGCGGTCAAAATGGATATTTTCGTTGAAATATGCTGCCTGAAACTATCCGCGATTACAATACTTCCTTTTTATTTCGTACAAGGAAGTAAAACTTTTTTCATATATCATCTCCAAGGAACATAAATTAAATTAGAGCGATGAACTATTGGAATAAATTTGAGTCAGTGTTTTAGATATAAGTTATTTAGATTTCTATTGTAGAAAAATACTTAAAAAACTGTATAGAAATATTTATTTTGAACCGTAAAAATTCTAAATAGTAAAATTAAATGTAAACTTTAGAGTACTGAACAGGTACCTATTGTTATTGACAGTACATTATATAATATAAAAATGTCTCTTCATGCTGAGCATTTCCAGTATTTACACGGCCAAATGAAATTTATACAATGCAGTAGTTAGCAATATAAATAAATCTTCTACACAGCCTTATACACGCACAGTTAAAATTATTGTCATTGCAATTAAGCGGATGTTAGTAGATATAGTCACATTTGTTTACAAACAGTCTTATTTACGTTAATATCTATACAAACAAATAAACTTAGTGCAGAAAATTGTAACTACCATTTCCGCAGTATAACTAATGAAAAAAAATAATGTTTAAATATTACTCTAACTATATTTGAAAGCAATGCTAAAACAGTGCCCTTACAAGACTCATGATTTGAAAAGCTTTGGTTTTAATTGTCTAGTAAAAATCTTTTAATTACTTCTGCAAAATTCATACCCACGTAAACATTACTGCACCTAAATCAATTGATTATGCAGTGAAACGTTACTAAAGCAATTAACTCCATAATTCTAGATAATGCCAGTTTCTTGTAGCCTTCCAAAGCTGTCAGTGATTTTAAATACTGTTATTTAATTATGTTCCTAACATATGTGCCACTGTCAGAGGTGGTCATTTAAGAAAATAACCACTATATGAGGTTTTCACTTAACGTAATTATTTCAAATAAATAATTCAGTTTGTATACTCCCAAGACTAGCACATTTAATATTACATAAACTCTATCAATTATTCACAAATCTATTTCAATTTCAAAAGCAATTTATGAAAAAAAATCATTTGAAATGTTCTTTATCAAACTAATAATAATGAAAATTAAAATATGCATAAGAATGATTATATGTGTTTTAACAAAATAGCACAAAATATTTAAGGTAACAATGTGGTTCTAGTCTCATACTTGTCAAGAAAAATAGACCCCCCCCCAAGAAAAAAACAATGTAAGCTATACTATGATCATCTAAATTTTCACACAATTTTAGTAATGGAAAAAAGATTCCTTAGCTTGTACGTCTTGTCTACCTCACTCAATAAGTAATAAACACATTAAATATTTCAATGTTTACTTCATTAATAAAACTTGCCTTTTTTGTTCGCGAAATATAATTAGTACATTTTTTAAGACAGAAAAAAACATTCTTTCTGCTCAGCCACATCACATTAGTCGAAAAATTGAAAATTGAATCTTGCAAGATCATTTTTAAGTAAGGTATGCTCACATTTATTAGTACATAATATTCAAACGATAAAGCATCTACATAATAAGCTTTAAAAAGTATTTCTAAACTGTAATAAAAAAAAACAAATTTTCAAAAATACAGTTTTTGTAGAATGCAAAAACTACATTTGTGCATCGGATGTGAACACACCGAGCCAAATTATCCCTTTTCAGCCTTTAAGCACATTGCTTTTTAGGATAAAATAAAGATGTAATTTCAATTTCACGCCCAGAAACGCTTATTTCAGAACTAGTCAACTATCAGCAATGTTCTCTCAAAAATTAGACACGATTACATGTGCATGGCTTTAGTGGTATTTGCTTTCATATTCACAGTCAGTGCTGGTATTTTATTATTTACTATTAATATCTAGACAGTAAAACATAGTAAAATTTGTAATATAGTAAATCATAGTAAATTATTTATTGCATTACTACAGCCTACTCTCCAGCACGATCATAACACAAACATCTCATAACAACATTAACAGAACGCCGCCATATTGCTTGTTTGGGAAATTTCTTCTCGTTGAGGTAGAGGGGGAGTGAGGGGGAATTTTTTCCTCACGTTAGCGTTAACACGGAGAAAAATAGTTTTGCGATTGTGAAGGAACATGGTCGCGTTAAAGAGATGATGGCTGATACCGGTGTTTATTTGTAATATCAGAAATGTAAGTGCATATGTGTGTGGATTCAGAGAACCAACTCGTGCAAAAACCACCTCCCTAAGATGACCGCCTCTGAAAAGGTCTCTGGAAAGAGACCAGTATTTCTGAAAACATAAGTGTATTTTGGTATTGAGCATTCCCTCTGTAAGACGACCATTCACAAAGAAAATTCTGCAAGTGTGGCTGGTCGCCTTAGAGATATTCATTTCGTAGAGATAACCTCCTAAAGACAACCGCCTCTAATAGATAAACATATTTCTGAGAACATAAGTATATATTGGTATTAAGCATCACGTCTCTAAGGTGACCACTTGCGAAGATACATTTCTATTTGCGGCTGGTCACCTTAGAGAGACCTCGTTGTGTGTGGTGTATATGATTACTGTTATTGTTTCCGACAAAAGCTCTTTAAAAATCAAATAAATAAGCCTATTTAGTAAAAAAAAAATCCTCTAAAACGACCACCTGCGCTTCCAGGTTGCTCTGATGGTCTTAAAGAGATCACATTTTCATTCTATTATTTTATTGTTTACAAAAGTCTATTAACGTCAGATAGAAAATTAGCATAAACCCATATAAACCAACAGAAGATTTATTATTATATTGATACCTGTAAGAAAACCAGTAAAAGTCAATTTAAACCAATATAAACCAGTAAAAGTTTCTGACACTGATGTTGGTTGTATAGGTGTCAATTGATACCAGTAAGAAAATCCCACAGAGATCAATAGAAACCAGTAAAGTCAGTAGAGACCAGCAAAAATTTTATAGGAACCAGTAAAAAGTTTTACTGGTTTCTATGGAGCATTTTGAAACCAGTAAGTAAAACCCACATAGACCAACAGAAACCAGTAAAATTCAATAGAAACCCATAAACTTTTATGGGTACCCATAAAACATTTTACTGGTTTCTATGGGGCATTTTTAGCAGGGTTATAAATGGCTTACGGCAGGAAGAAGCAAATGGTTTATGAAAATAATCTAAGCAATTTAGCGTAATTGAAAGATGCGATGCACTGACATGTAACATTCCTTCCGATAAGCTAACAACTGCTGTTGAGAGTGCAGTAGTACGATTTAACTTGCTTTCGGAAAATGGTGGACGCCGCATTAAATATGCTTTGTAACACGTTTCAGAAACGGGTAAACACATTTTAAATCGATGTCTGCATGTCTTATTTCGTTTAACAGTATTGCATACGGCGGCATGTCCTCCCTGGTGGTGAGTTTTTGAACTATTTTTTTTTTTTTTTTTTTTTTTTTTTTTTTTTTTTTTTTTTTGCGGAAAATAAATTCCTGTGACCTCCTTTATAAGGTTACCAAGTTTGGTAACGTTTGGTCCAGTAGGTTTCCTTTTATGGCCATTTCAAAGTGCAACTTTAATTATAACCACCTTGTATCTCGACTATGAAACAGACTTCAAATTATGAAGTATGCCCGAAAAAATAAAATGTCGATTGCCGTTTTCTTTCTTAATAGTCATTTGATAAGATTAAACAAAATTCCAGTTACCTGTAAAAGAACTTTTAGGAGATAAATACATAAAGTGTTGACACAAGCTGTCCAAAATCGTTTTTATCGCTTTGCTTAATATGCACGTAGACTTGTAGTTTCTGTTCACTTATAAGACATTGCATTATGCAAAGGAATTGAACGGATGAGCATTCCTCCAGTTCTCCATCTGATTTAGTTCGGATAGCTCTGAATCATACTATCACCTAAATGTATAATTAGGATGGTACAGAGTAGCATCAAATTCTCTTCACGGACGAATCAGTATTCTGTTTGGAGCCAGACGATTTTCGTATCTTCATATAAAGAGAACATAACATAAAATTAACATGCAGGACAAAGTGTAGGTAGAGAAAATCAAAGCGCGGAAGTAAGTACTGGCGGAGGCACAAATGAGATTCTTGGACTTTTAAGTCTTGCTGTATGCTGCAGCCTTTGCCGACCTCTTCTTTTAATGAAAATTAACGTTGGATGTCACAAAATTTGTGTAATGGAATGCAGTCGTTTGGAGAACGAAATCAAACATATAGAGTAACCAACATATTCACTGGATCTGCATCCAATAAAATCTGCGTGGAATTCTTTACAGAGAAATGCTGATGCTCGGCCAAGATCTCCTTTGACAATTCGGCAGCTGGCGATTACCTTTGGGGAGGAATAGAAAAAATTGCCTCAGAATTTGCTGAATCTCCGTGTAAAATCCCTGCCATGCATATGTTCCGTTGTTTTAAAAGATCAGGAGATCACAGTTTAGCCTTGTTAATGTTCTCATGTTAGCATAACATCTTCAGGAAAATGTAGTTTAATTTTCTTACTTCCGAATGTTCAAACATTTGAAAGCTCAAAATATGCCTGAAAGTCAAATTTTCTAGTGGCTTTCAGAGAAGATTTGAATTTACTTTGTAGAACTATGTAGACCCATCCACTGCAATTTTTCTCAAAAGTATGAATGCAACATAAATATTTTCTAAAAAAGATGACTGATTCTTTAATTATTTTGGCATTGTATTATTGATCAAATGTTTGCAAAGAAATAAAATGTTCTGACTTTATTTTACTACAGCAAAGAAATCGCCCAAAAGTCCCTGGGGTAAAATGAAAACAATGATACAGATCCGTAAGGATAATCGCCAACAAAAAAGCGAAAGCAGCAGCAGCTCGCCTAGAGATGCCAAACCCAGCAAACCAACCAATGGAAATCAAGAACAAACCAATGGTCATTCATCAAGCCGACGAACTCAAAGAACAAATCATCGTCTCGTTTACCAAGATGGAAGTAAGATTTTACATCAAATTTACTAGAAGTGGTTATCGATTAAAATTTCTCTTATTTTAATTTTTTACTGTATTGAGAATAGATTTTGCTCAATACCAAAAGAAGATTTCAGAGATATTCATTTCCAATGTTCCTTATACCATTTTTCACCAGCAATTGAGTAGTAAAATCGATGAACACTAAATCAAAGCCCGACGAATGGGCTAGCTCCTCTAGTAAGGAGATTTGTAGCTTTCCCGATGCTGTGGATTTATTTTCCTTAAACTGACACTCTTTACACGCCATCGTGAAAAACAAAATTTCGTTTTAATCGGACATAAAGCAATGTTAATATTTACAAAAATTGTTCAAATGAAGGACCACCAACTACAACGTATGCATCAAAATGGCGACGAAGTGATTAGCAGTTTGTAAAAGGTCTGGTATTTTACACACTTCGTTTATTTATTATGTGCTAAGGAGTTTATTTATTACGTGCTCCATTCGGCTAAGGAGGGATGCCCTGTGGAAGACAGAAACTACCTTTTATCCACATTACACATGGGTAAGGCCACGAAAGCGTCCATGCGTCTAGTTCATTCAATAAGGCTCGAGTTCCAGACTGAACTCTTTAGCGGCTTTTACCGGTCGGGTGGTTGGGGGGAGGGCATTTCATATCCTTCTGCAACAGAATTTTGCTGGCGAAAAAAAATGACAGCCAATCTGTGTTTCGCAAATAAGATTCGTCGTCGTTGAAATGCGAGTACTGCAGTTGCTGATCATATATTTGAATAATGCTTATGAATATTAAACACGGTTTCTTGTAAATATCCGCAATTAAAACGATTTTGCATTTTTCATTTCTTCGCATTTACTAGCTTCCTCGGTCACGTTTTGCACTATAATGTACTCTTTACTATGAAAAATTGTTAATTTTACCACATTTCATCAACCTTTAACGTTGTAAACATCCATCCTGTTACACCCTATATAGTAGAAGATGCATATCATTGCATTATAAATTAACCTTATATTAAAGTTTACTGAAAATTAACGTGTGAGTATTTAAGTTAAAAAACAAACTAAATTTAGGATCATAAGCACATAAACTAAGCGGAAATTAATTTATGCGTATAAAGTATAGGAAGTAGTTGCGTTTATGAAATGTTTTAGGTATCCCTTGTAAACTGTGAAAGAATTTTATTTTACCGTACTTTGCTTTATTTCAGATGCAGAAGACTTGATACTGTACTGAAATAATTTAAAGGTTTCTGAAACTTTTTATCCCCAGGTTTTCATCGGAGAAAAATATATACAAAGAAATATATATAAGAATTAAGTAATCTGAATTTTTTGGAGGTGATAAGATAAAATTTGTTTCTGAAGAACGGGGTTTTAAAACTATAAATGGCGAAACGGAACTTATCACCTGTAACCGGATACATCTTACGCATGAGTTAAGGTAAGAATAATGATCTAGAAGTCTCGCTTAGACCACGAAGCCATCCATCCTTTGCAGCCATGCACAGAAATTTGCACAGAAATTGCATAGTCAACATATCTTTACTAACATATCTTTACTACCGCCAAATCATCGACATCAATCATTAAATTTACAATTCGACTTTTAAATGTTCAATGAATGACGCAGCTGTTATGTAAAACTAAAGAAATAAATGCTAAGTAGGATTAGTATTAGAAACTTCAAAACTTTCAGCTTTCATAAAGGCTTTCTAAATGTAGCTTCCTTCCATTTTATGAGAAATGATTTTCATGGAACCATGATGTAAAATTTCTTTCCGTTTATGATATACTAAAATTCGGCTTTTTTCCTTTTAATAGACATTGATCAGCAAAAATATCATAGCCATCCCTACTGCAAGAATCATGCAGATCATAACTGATACCAAATCATGTAGATGACACCTGATAAGAGTGAAAATGTTATATAACAGCTGCCCAAGGTACTAAGGGATCATTCTGTTAACTACGTGCGCATGTAAAGGAGAAGGCTTCTAATTTAAACGACTTTCATAAAGATCAAATTGGGGTAGTTCGTAGCCTAGGATAGAGTATCTTCAAAACGGCATTGCTGGTTGGTTGCTCGCAAGCTGCAGGTTATTAGAATTTGTGAAAAGTGACATTGAAACCGATGTAAAAACACGTGGAAGCAAGGCCGCACCTGTGCATTCCGTTACGTATATATTAGGTATCGCCGGGCCTTGCTAACTGTAAAGCTTCGGCTCCAATTGCGAGGAAGAACGCCGGATTGTCTCCGGCCTCTTATTTATCTACCATCAACCTTTCGAAGACTTTCGGTACGTTGAGGTAAACCTGGTACTCCTCATCGGAGATATAGGACTGATCAATGAACGCAAACGTCGGAGATAACTTATCAGAGATAGTTTTTTCTTATCAATATATCAAAATTAATACAGGTGCGAAACTAAGTACGAAATTTTCTCAGTTGAAATAAGTTAAAGGATTATAAACAACCCTGCAATTTAAATTTTCATGATTTCTAAAGTTCTCCCTTTTTAGGTAATGTTGCTTCTCCAACGGATTTCGATAGCCACATACAGAACAATCAGAATTCTGATAGAAGTCCACGACATCAGCGAATCAACACGGGAGAATCTGTTCAGTACCGCCAGAAGTCTTCCCAGAAATACAACCTTCGGAAATCATCTGCGCCTAATCTGGACTTAGAAAGCAAACTAAAAATTGAGAAATGCTCGAATGGGTCCCAGAAAAACCGGTATGAAGAAATGGACTCTTATTACAGCATCAGAGATCCTTCGGCACCTAAAGAGGTATGTAAAAAGGAACCACATGAAGTAAAAAATATATAATTACAAGAGAATAGCAAACTTATTTGGATTCCAAATACCTTGAACTCTATTTATTCGAATTTTTTATTCTTCGCTTGCTTATAATGTTTGGCAAATACGCAGTTAACAAAAACTGAAATAATTGTATACAGAGTGTAGGCCTATTTTTATTTATATACTCCGTGATTCCTTAGGCATAGCAAGTGGTTTAAAGTTTTATTAAACAATTATAGTAATGTAGTGTCAATATTCTGCCCACAGAATAAAACATTCCTTCATTTGTATTACAATAAATACTTACTTCACATCTTAAAATAACAAAACCAATTAAATTTTTCAAATACCCGAATGGGTTCTAGTCCCATTTAGTTCCGATATTTGGGATTCCACCCGTTTTTCTGTCGAGAAACTTTTAAAACATTTTATTGAGAAATTACTTTAATTTTTATTGAGAAATCTCTTTGTGTCTCCTAGTTTTTTTTATTTCTCTTTGTAACGAATCTATTTAAAAGTCTTAGTAATGTTAAGGATATCTTACTCAAAATGTCACTAATGTTCAGCAAAGAGATTTGCTCGTAATAGATGCTACGTTCTACTAAGCAGATTTGAAATTGTAATTATCTTTAGCAGATTAGAGTAAACCTTTTCTTGGAACATTTTTAATTTTCAGTTATTGTGATTTTCCAGATTATTACAAATGCTAAAAATGACCACAATAATTTCTGATTAAAGATTTTAAATAGCAAAAATTAAATTGATATTTAAATCGAAATAAGAATTCTACAGTTCTGGTTCTTGAATAGCTTGTTGAATATTGTCTTTTAGATCTTGTAAGATACTTAGCGTGCATGCATACATCTTTCATTTTAAGTAAGTCCAAAAGAAAACAATCTGCAGCTTTTAAATCTGCCTGTCATTGATAGCCGGTTAAAATTCAGAAACTGGGAAATTAAGGGATTGCTGATGATTCCCCCCAAGAGATGTCTGTGGCTGAAAATGTTGAGCCAGTTAGTGAATTTTCGGAACATAAAATACGTTACAAAAATTAGAGAATCTGCTGCATACTCTTGCATCAAAACAGAAAAGTGTTGATTTTCAAAGTAAAACTAAACAATTTTTTTGCCCTTTTCTTTGGGGTGAATCTTTCCATCACAAAAACTTTCAAATGCTCGCTATACAGGCCCAAAAAAGGAAACCTACATTACGGGAGAAAGTTATTTAATGTTTAAACCATGACCCTAAATTTGCGCCATCCTGCAGTATATATTAAAAATTACATAATAATCGTTTAAACATTTGTTTTAGTATTACAAAATATAGTGGATTTTGCATGAGTATTGACTTGCTTGTTATCAAAAGGCATCTTTTGCAGAACAAAAGAAAAAAATCAAAACATCGGCCTCCTCCATTAGATTACGTAGAAGACCAGCAGTTACCAATCGAAGATGAAGACAAAGAAGTTCCTAAGAGCCCTGGATGTTCTCCGTTGACTCAGAGGAAGTGGATGTGGACCAAAGTAAAAGATGTTCTCAAAGGGAAAAGGGAAGATGAAGGACCTACTTCCTTTTCAGTGCCATCTAGTCCAGGTTCTGTCACGGAAGGCATGACCTTCGATTTCAACCTTGATAAAAGTAAATATTTTACGGTTTTTATTTTATACTTTTAATAAAATTAATCTTTCGTTATTATATTTCTTTCTAACTCCTATTGAGCAAATTCCTTCGAAACTGTCAAAAAATTCTGAATATTTGATTCAGCATTATTAATTCATTAAACGTCTGAAAAATATAAAAGCATTTATTATATAGAGTTGTAATATTTAATTTAATTAACTCGTTATTTATTCTGTTAGTTGTTTCATGCGCTTATACTTCCCAATTGACTTCACCTGACATGCAAATTAAGCGAGTTTAATTACCAAACATGAGCCTAATTTAAGCTACAGGGTGTTGGTAGCTTCTGCCAGCAGGTCTGTACCTTTCAGATTGTACCTGGCATAGTGTGCTGATTATTGGACAATGTTGGTTTTTTCACTTTGTTTTCATTACGTTAAAGGGTTCGTTAGCATAGGAGCCAGGTTTTTGGTCTTTGATTTGATATTTCTTTTAAAAATGTAAAGAAAATCCTGTTGCATTATTAGCTCGCAAGAAATGGATGTTATGTTTCTGTTAACATTTTAGCCGTAACTTTAGTCGAAGTATAAAAAAATATTCTGGCTGTTTACTCTGGTCCTAATCAATTTATCACTAAAATTTTATTGGATTCTGAATTCAAAACGGGGTGAGAACTTGTCTGGCATTACAGGAACGTTTTTGTTTCAGTGAAAGCAGACACAACCTTATAGGATTATTTATAAGTTATGAAATTTTTTTTTAAATTCAGATTAAATACACTACTCAAATAATACCAAATTTTATTGCATTGAAATAGAGGTAAACTCATTCATTTTTTATACATTCAATAAGCGTTTAATTTGTCTGAATTTGCGTCTGTGACAGACATTTATGCGTCATTAGGAGGATTTACTCCAATAAGTAAGGTGATGCTACAGCTAACCGAAAGTACCGATGATTATTTCTTTTAAAAAGGCAACAAGACCATGATTGAGATCATTTTGCTGGAGCGTAATTTTCCAGCGAAAGCGATATCGCCCACCACTAAACATTGAAAATATTTTAGGGGATAGTTATATACCTAGGGGCTATGAGTACACTTGGAAAGCATGGTTATCTAAAAATACTGAAATTAAGACTTAAAACTTCTCTTAATTGCATAAGTACGCGTCTTTACGAGAATCATATTAAATCATGTCATTCGACCATTCACATGTGTTGGACCAAGTTTCAATACATAAAATTCATTTCATATTCCAAGGAGACATATAAAATACAGGTTACAAATTACTAGTATATATTTCTAAAAAATTAGCGCGAGTCAGTAAATTTAATGATATCGACTAAGCGCATAGCATGGCTTCTCATTGTATATCTCTCAGTGAGTTCTGGCAATGACAAGAAGGAAGAAGAAGGCTTTGTTAGATTCAGTTCTACAAATGCCTAGGAAGTATTTATTGGTTACAAGTTTGTTTCCAAATGTATAACTAGTTTCAATTAATAACTTATCACAGTACAACTGCAATAAATGCTTAAAATGTCCCATGTGTATTCAGTTCATACTTAACACTAGGCTTACGGACATTTATGTATATTTACGGACACCCATAAATTGAGGAGTATAGGAAACAACGTATTTTCTGATAAAAACGAATAATTTGATTTAGAAACATTTATAATATTAACACTAGAGCTGCCGATAACCCTGAGTTTGAAGAATTTGTAGTTGCCCTTATCCAAAGAAAAAAATGTTACGGTAATTTTAGTGTTAACAGATATACCAGAGCAATCTTCCCTGGTACCAACTATTTTCTCTAGCAATTCAGTATCTCTTCTTAAATTATTTATAAGGATTAAACAAGGGTAGTTCTTCAGAAAGTAAAACTAGTACTTTCCTCTAACTTTATAATGACATCGCTAATATTCATAATAATTAAACATTTTCTTCTCGATACTTTCTACTCGCACTAACTGAAACTTTTCCTAAAACTTCTTGGCCTATTGACTGGAACTCGGTGACGGTCGACGGCAGATAGTTCCTTACTCTTGAGCCTAAGGCTTTATGTTTAGCTTTAGGTACGTACGGTTGACAGATAATTAAAGTGACATATCCCTTCCACTGGGAACTGAGTCCGAAAGATACTGAACTGAGTCCGAAAGATACTGATGAGTTGATACTGGGTCCGAAATTATGAAAAGATATTTCTTCTGAATTATGACTTTTATCAATTACCTACGTTTTAATTACTTTTGCAATTGTGACTAGAAAAATAATTTCATAAAAAAGGGTTATTACGATTAACTATGAAACTAGCTTACCCGTCATTTTGACGGGTGTCCGTACAGATAAGTAGACATCATACAGAACTCTTAAATTAAAAGGCTAAAGGGAAAATGAATTTAGGTATTTATTCGTTTTATTACCTCGATAATTGTTAACCTGAATTAGAAAATTAAAAAATCAACGGTTTTAGTAATTCTGCTCGTGAAGTTCGCAATCCTTCGAAATGATGTGTTCCGTAAATCTAGTGTGAAAGATTGCGTTCAAAAGATATCTGATATATAGTTACTGCAAGTGTGTTAAACGTAGGTAAGTGATTATTAAGATTGTAACTATGAATTCTCATCTTGCCCATAGATCGCGGTTGTGTTTATTTGTAAAATAAACTGTGACGTCATACTTATGTAGGGTCTGGTGTTAGTGAATAGAAAATCTCTGCTCTGTTTATTATTATTCCTTCATCCTGTCTGATTTAATAGAGACATAAATTTCCTTCAAAAGGTATGGAACGCTGAAACAACATCTTTGAAAAGAGGGAATTGACAAAGAAATGGTTGAGAAATTATGCATTAAGGAAATCTCGGTCAAAATGTTTCAGAATAATAGAGATCATTTCTTTGAAAGCACCTGCACCAAAATTTGAAGAAGACACAGCACAAGATGTTGCGTTAATGCGATTCTATTCCAGTTTTTGAACTTAAATCTTTTTCTTCAAATTTTAGAGTTAATTAATTGGCTTTGTGATATGCGACGTTTTATGTCTTCGGAATCATATTTATCATCAAGCCGGTCTAAAGTAACTTTTTTGCCTAATTTTAATGCCTTATACCTCATTTCGGTTTTGAGATTTTATACAACTTTTCCGAAATCTAAGTCCTCTTTAGTGTAATTTTAACACCTTTATTTCGTTTTGGGGGAACATGAAGAATTCGTAAAACATGTGTAATGGAGACTGGAGAATTATGCCTTCAAAAGTTAAGTTATTTCTTCAACTAATTCTTTTAATATTATGTATTTTTCTTACATTTTTTAATTTCGAGCTCTGAAACAGTAAGTTATTAATACTTTAAATATTTTATTTTATCATTTTACGGAAAACAAATTTTAAAATATTCTCATACGACATAAATAAAATGACAAAATTTGTTATTAAAGTTAACAGCATTTAATTTCTTTTAAGGCAAGGAAGAAGAAAGCCTAAATTCTGAATACCAAACGCCTCGCATGTCGGATGTTGGCCAAAGTAACGCTATGATACTTCCTAATTCATCCCCTTCCACGACCGTCACCGAGTTATTACGAGAATTGCAGCAAAACTTAAGTGATGATTTTAATAAGAAGCTAGAGGAATGGCAAAGGTGTCGAGCAGAAGGAATTCACAAATGCCCCAACCCAGAAGTTGAAAGGAAAGATTCATTTGGCAGAATGCGGAAAGTTAGTAAGCCAGAGAAGAAAATATCAACAGGAGAAAAACTGTCTAAGAGCAATTATCATATACAGAAAAAAGTGAGTATAATTAGCAAACATGTAAGCTATTAATGTTAAAACTATTCCTTTATAATAAATAAAATTTTCATATTTAGTTCAAATTACTCCTTTTAGGAGAATTTGTACTGTAGGACAGTGGTCTTCAAATCTTGCATTATTAAAAAATTTAAGAATAAAAGAGAGTAGATTAAATTCTTTTCTTAGGATATACGCAAGTTAGGCACTTACTTGAAATAAAACAATAAATAAAGAATTTTATACAATAAATAAATGCTTAAATTAAAATAAATAGTCTACTTTGCACTAACAAATAACAATTGTAAACACAACAACATCTTTAGAATCCCCACTTATATCGTTGCCAATTTTATAAAGGTATTCTTTAAAAATATTTAGAATTACCATTTATTGGCAAACGATTATTTGAATGTTTAATATTTTCATATCTATATACTAAATATTTAAATTTATCCAGAAATTAAGTTCAAAGGAAAAGGAAAGGTAATCAGCGAATAAAAAAAGATTGTAGGAATACTTTTTCTTTCTTTTCTTTTCACCATCGACGGAACAGCTGGCCCACTGGGTTAGGTGCTTATTGTAGGAATACTGTCCCTTAATAGAGAACTTAAAGAACAATAATATATATTAATTATATATATATAATTGATTATAAGAAAGATAAAGGAAAGAAGAATCCCTACAGGATTTTGCAAGTTAAATCTCAATGTTCGAAAGAATTGTATAATGCAATGTAGAAGGCAAAATCAATGATCTAAAGTAATTAATTATATTACACGTTTTACTTCTATTTATATTTTTGCCTAAAATATAGGAAACAAGTTTGTTTTACAGACACGACCTTTCTAAATATGATATAAATAAAGAGAAATGGGGCAGAATAATACGCCAAATAAAACCAATTCTAAGAACCAAAGTCATTTGGTATACTAGATCAAGGATTCTCAATCAGCAGGGAATTTCACAGTTTCACGGGAGAAATGCCATCAGCAGTTTATTTACCTGTTAAGTATTTAATTTTAGTCTATGAATCTAAAAAAACTAATTTTATTCAGTTTTGGTTTTTATCAAGAGTTTCTACTTTTTGTTTAATTTACAAAACACATAAAATAAACAAAATTTGCATCAATGCGTGTGCATTTTTTAAATTTTGCAAAGGAGGTGGGAATGATGGTCAAAGGGCTTGGGGCAAAAAAGCTTGAGAGCCACTGGTATAGATATTATTTTATCAGAAATGCTTTCAGCGATTCAATACGATCGCTATCTTCAGTTGTATCTGAATGAGAAACATATACCAAAAGCAGAAGAACAGAAAGAACAGTTTTCGGGAACAGACTAGTAACTAAACACGGTGCCTTTAATAAGCAACGGAAAAAAGAAATTAACTGAAAACGACAAAGCAAATAGTGCTATCTAAATACTGAAATTGAATCAGAATAATGCTGTTTATAAATGAGGAGAAACGGGTATGAATTTAGTTGGCTAATGTAGAGAGACCTTTTTCGTTGTTGTGTCCACATTATATGGCAGAATGGTTCCCAGAGTCTATTCCAAAGAGAGGTTGGACTTCTATTTTCCACCAAAATTTTGAGAGAGAGCGCTCCGGGTGATGATCCAACGGTCTCCCACCCCTCTTTCCTTCAACCAAATCACACGAGAGGACTTTCGATTATTGCTTTCGGCTTAGCAAATGAAGTTGATCACAGTGGTCAGGTACTTGCTAAGTGTTCAAACTGACTTCCACGCTAGAACAATGTTCGGAAACAGATTATGCATTAGACTGGGATGGGGTTTACCCAAACGCCCAAGAAAACTGAACGAGGTTCACGAAGCCGCATATTTAGAATGCCCCTATGTCTCATGGGCATTCTCCATTTACAAACACCCATGTTTTCTTCGGGCTTCGAACCCGGGTTCTTCGGTACCGCAATAGGTTCCCCTAACCACTGTACCGTCTGGACGACTACAGAGACTTTCATAGGTAGGAAAAGCTTCATCATGAAACTCTTCAGTAACAACGAATAAATCTTCGTCTTTGGCCCTACCCTGAGATTTTTCCACCGAACAGGCATTCATTCCGCGTGGATTTCTAGGACGGAAGCCTGCTCCGTGGCCTACAATGAAATCCAGTTCACCAAGACGAAATTATTTGCATGCTTTTGGAAGAAGCAAAATTGAATTGGCGGTTGTCAACTCAAATAGATGATTTTTTTTTTTTTTTCAAACCCAGTTTCTCTTAGAATCTTCAATGAAGGCATCTCTCACTTTGAGCAGATAGCTGTCGTAAGCTTTGACATATTCAATTAACTTTATTTTTAAACATAAAATTCACGTTTCTTGATGTGAATTTTAAAGTTCGTTCTGTTAATTGCAGCTGAAAAAAAGTGATAATGTTTGTATCCTAAAAGGAACTTCTAAAATTAAATCCATTCCGTTTATCGTTGGTTTTATTAGAAGCGGATGAATAAACCAACGTGTGAAACAATGATGAAGAATCATTTGCCTGTCTATTTGAGTGTGAGTCCATTCATTTCTAGTGGTTATTACTTGTGGACTGATTCTTATTATTACTCTGTTTAACTGTAAGTGCCAACCGTTTCACATTTTTGACAGCTCGACATGCAGCAGCCTGTGCTCTAACGGAACATATTTGAAATCGGTTTAGGCTATCAGATAGGAAAAAATGCTATGAGCATTTGAGCTAGTCAGAAACATTAACTGGAATTTTGGTCAAGTAGCTACCGTCTTCAGCCGGCAGCTAGAGTTAGATGCTAGATAAAAATAATTTGTCTATTTCTCGTATTTTGCAGTCTGAAAGGAGCTTAAGAAAGGAACCAGTCAACCTGAAAACTCAGTTCAACCAGGATTGGAAGGAGCTAGCGTGTGCTGTTCTTTTCAGCGTGGTTAACTTTAACAGAATCGTTTTACAAATTTATAAATTGTAGGCTACTGGAGATTAATTTACTGTAATATTTGCAATCCTATTGTTTGTTTTTTGATTATCACATTTTTGCAGTTATAAATTATTATACATAAGGTATATTCTGCCCATAATTTGGAAATAGATGGTAATTTCTACCTCCAAGCGCACATGGCCTGACTGTTACTTTATGATAGTATAATAATAATCATATAGTGTCGTCTACAGCACGTGTAGCATATGTTGTACTCTAGAGACAAACATTATGGATATATCCTGACACACAAAACGCTGCCTACAACAAAATTATAACGTGTGTTATAGACAGCGTGAAATCTGAGTCAAATGAAACATTTAAATGCATTTTACATGTAATGAACATGAACAAAAGTGGATATTGATTTATTTAACAAATGTTTAATACAAATGCATCCTTTTTCGACATAGTCTTCCTGACGTTCAACACACTTCCTAGAGCGCTCAAGAAGTGCGCGAATTCCTACCGAAAACGTTTTTGTGGTATTATGCGCAGTTTTTCTGACACCTCTTCATAGGAACACAATTTCTTTCCCCTCATTATTTCTTTGAGTGATCCAAACGTGTGCTAATTACTTGCAGCGAGATCTGGCGAATATGGAAGATATAACAGAATATCAGAATTGAAGGTCAGTGATGGTTACAATTGCGCATGAGCCTATGAGATTAAACATTGACATGTTGCAAAATGACATCTGGAAAAAAAGGGTTCAGACGTCCACGCGCTAAGCGCAGGCCGTAGATGACTTTTTAGCATATCAGAATATAATGCACTCGTGATGGTGTTTCTTTTAAGCGTGTAGTGTTCCAAGATAACGTCTCGTGCATACCAAAATAGAGTCAGCATAACTTTTCTTGCAAATGGCTGTGAATAGAACTTCTTCGGTTTTAGTGATGAGGAATGGCGCCATTTCTTGCATGCTCTTTTGATTTTGGGTTGGTGGAAGTGGACACAGATTTCGTCTACTGTGAGTTTCTCGTAACGAGGACATCCCCTTCTGCTTCAAAACACCGCCAAAAAAATCTTCACAAGCGCCAAAGCGTCGGTCCTTCAGTTTTGGTGTCAAATGTTGTAACAGCCATCTTGCAGATACTTAAGCATCTCATAAATGATGCAATTTGCTGAGCCATGACTAATGTTCAGATCTGTGGCTATTTCATCCACCGTCACATGGCGATTGCCCATCACAATGGCTTCGCCTGCTGCAATAGATTCTGGCGTCAGGAAGCGGGATGTCTGATCTGAGTTGGAACATCTGCCACAGAACTCATGCCGATTCCGAACTTCCTACTTCACCCGTATACTTTCCGCAGTAACAAGCATGCGTCACCATACTACATTTTCATTCACCGATAGATTTCAATAGGTTTCGTACCTTCATTGTTTAAAAACATATGACAAAACGTTGTTCTTCATTTCTGCATAGGTAACCATTGTAAATTGGTTATGTGGCAACAATTCGCTTGTCTGCAGTATCCTGTCACCTGTTGAGCATTCTTTAAAGCATTGGTAACGGCACTGACAGTTTACGGAACAACGGTGCGGAAAATAAAATGTTTATTACGTTTTTAAGGTTTTCATTTGACTCCGCCAAACCTACAAAGTTTAAATACGGCTGTAGAAAAACCGTTAAATATTACTATGTATGATGAGCCACAGAATCTGGGGATTTTGAGAACAAAACCTACTCTATGAAATGCAATTTAAAACGTATTCGTTTTACAGAATAGTAGGATCAGTTGTAATAAACCAGTAAAAATATTTCTCACTAACATATGCAAAGAAAACGTAAAATTTGAGGTAAACAAAAAGTGCTAAATTTATATTTGCTTTTGTTTTAATTTTCTTTACAGCATTTTAATATATTCCTTAAGAGAAAATTTTGAACATCTAACACTTCATACAAAATTCACCAGTGCAAAGCAAGCAATTATTGCTTGCTTTGCATTGGTGAATTTTATTATTTTATTTATTGGTGAATTAAACTACTGAATTTTATTATTTATTGGCATTATTGAATTTTATTATTTATTGGTGAATTAAATATTTTATAATTTAGTGAATCAAAATGAGGAAATTTTCTAAGATTACTTTCTCTATTTCAGGACCTTAGCTGGCTTGAAAAAGAACAACAGAAGGTCGAAAGAGAGATTATTCGCTTAACTAAAGAAAAACAAAAGTTTGAGAAACGAGCGTTCCGGCTGAAGCAACTCAAAGAGGCTATGACAGATGGTGATGGACAAAAAAAAGAGGTTTTAGTCAAAACTTCTGCTGGCGAATTTCGATTTGAGGGCATTTCTGATGCCTTTACCAAAAAGCTTTATGAATGGGAGACGAAAAAAGGCGTGAATCCTGAATTGTCCACAATTGCACTGTTAGATGAATCGCTCAAGCCGCCAGTTGATACGGTTGTCACTTCGACATGTTCCAATTCAGTGGGCACAAATTCGGCAAGACCCTCCCCAGAGCCTTCAAAGAACTGTTACCAAGTTTCCAGAGCTAGTTCTGAACCAGATTTATCGTCGACCCAGAAAGAGACACCTTCTAACAACCAAGCTACAAGGTGACAAAACAGTTGTTAAATTTAACGGAATTTGTTACAATTTAGAAACTTTTCACTTCAACTATCACTGCAGTTTGATCCATTCAATAAGCCGTAGAAATGTTCATATTAAGAGGGAACCATTCACATTACTAAGTGTATACAGTTTATTGCTTTAAGAAAAATATGGTAGAAAAGGTATTTTTATGCAAAGCACGTATTTTAAAATCTTGGTGGATTGGCAATTGAAGGTAATGTTTTTCTCTAAGGCATTCATTAAACAGTCTGTAAATATGATTTAAAATTAAAAGCACTATTATTTCATATATTATTATTTATTTTAAACATGTCTTGCCAGATATATACTGGGTGTATCAGTACAGCGTTGACAAGCTTTCAGAAGATACCTAGACAATGGGAAATCCCATAGCAATGCATGATCGGAAACGCTTCCCTAGCGCGGTAGTAATGACACAAAACACAAGAAAGGAAGGACAGGAACAGGATGAGTATGATGTTTATTATGCTTAGTTCATATGAAACCAAGGAATAAGGACAAAAACCTACGACTGTCATCAAAGAAGGTGCTCGAAATTACGATCCGGATCGTTATGCAGGAACCTTGCATCATGCATCTTCCATGCGATCTTCCATTCGTGATGGAGATCTTCCATGCGCCGGAGAAATGAAGTCTGCATCACGGTCCGGGGTCATAATTTCGAACACCTTCTTTAACGACGATCGTTGTTTGTTATTGTTCTTATTTGTTGGTTTCTGTTGTACTAAACATAATAAAACAAACTTTGTCTCACTTTTTGTGGCGTTCCTTTTTTGCATTTTGTGTTGTCACTAGCGCAACAGGAAAGCCTTTCCGACAGTGCATTGCCATGTGATTTCCCATCGTCTAGGTGTACTCTATCTGTATTAGTACACCCTGTATAGGACGATTTCCTGTAAAGAATTTTTCGACTAATAAACTCATATCAATCCAAATCAACATCCATGATTTTACAGTATCCTTAGCAAATTGGAATTTGTATGAATGATATTGATCTTAGATATATGTGTGACGCAGTGTTATTCAGACAAACATATAACCATTATTATTCTAATTTATTTCATTGATATTGGAGAACTAATATTGCATTTGTATGTAAATTTTCATTTAAAATAACAATAGAAATGCAATGCAATCATTTTCTAAATTAAAAATTTGAATTACCTTTTTTGTCTTTTCTGCTTCATTCCGTAAATTGTATGCCTTTAAAGAATCCATATATTTTATCACAAAAATCTATTTGGCCTGTAAGCTGCAATAGAATCAACAATAACTTCTATCGCTTGCAGCATTTTAGAGGGACCTCTCGTTTAGTTCGCGTAAAACATTTTCCGAAACCATGTATAATTATTTTAAGTTGGAAACATATGTGGAACTCATACCAGCATTGAATTGATTTTGTCATATACATTAGCCTGTATATAGAAACTAAACGTCCCCCTCTGTTAGTTCTCATTCCATTGCTATGTAACTTGACATCGAACTGATATGATTTTCGTAGTATAGGATTTCATTAAAATTGCATTTCATTCTTATACGGGAAGTTGTGAAATACTATTTTCCTTGCCTCCCAAGAATTCCATATTATATTTGGGGCTTGAAAGATTTCCACACTACTCTAGATGTTTGTACTCAACAGAGAATTTCATTTTCCTAATTAAAGGTTATATCATATTTGTCACATTTGTAGGTGTTCCCCTTTCTACTTAAATGTATATTATCCCCTCTTTTCTATTTTAACATTTTTTTTCAAATAACATCTCTTATCATCAACAGTGCATAATTTTTTTACATTAGCGCATGTTGTCACTTTCTAGAATCAAAGACGGGAGCTTAATTCATCTTTTACGAAAGCACAAGACTCTGTCATTGTTACTGTATTGGATAGTTAGTCAAAAATTTTTCTTCTTTTAAATTGAGGCGTCATAAACAAAAACGATATCTAGCCCCTTGAGAAACGGCGTGGCTATAATCCTTGCAAACTTATACAGCTTTTTTATCTCTGAAAAGTACCTTTTGCATCGATCTTTGGAATTAAGAACAGTGGTATTTTGCTTCAAAAGGATGAAATTTTACTCATTCTTCAAACAGACTAACAAGTTTATTGCCCACAGCAATAAACACACCAATGAGCACTATTGGATAAAAGTCAGAGCAATTACAAAACATGCCTTATTACTTTAATATAAAGTATTCCATAACAATGTTGCAAGATGCTCTCCATAGCAATCAAAGCATTCTCGTCATCTACCAAGTACATTTGCTGTGACATGATGCAGAATATCCTGAAAAACATTCGCAATCTTCTGAGGAACTGCGTTTTGAGGGCTATTAAATAGGGTGCGAGTGAAATTTTGAGCTTCCAAATATCTTCATTAAGGCCGTCTGCTGCATTTCCTAAGCTACATTTTGATGATTCGGTAGCATTCGTTACCTCTCTTTCTTTCTCGGAGCTTACATTAGCAAAACTTAAAAATTAACTTCTTCAGGATTGCGAATGTTTCCCAAAGGTGCTCTACGTTGCATTACGGCAAGTATACCTGGAAGATAGAAGCTATGTCTTGATTGACGTGGAGGACGTCCGAGAAGTTGTAAAGAAAGAATGAGGCTTACTTTATAAATCCAAAACATTGAATTCTTAATCAGTTGTATTTATTGCTGAGTATAACAAACCTGTTAGCTTCAGATGGCAAATATAATTACTCAGTTATCTATTTCCAGATCCAAATCTGGCGATACCTTGCTTGCTGGCGAGAAAGATATCGTAGGTAGCTTAGAAATCGTTAACTCCACCGATGTTCAGCAAGAATCTCGAGATGTTATGCATCACAATGAAGACAATTATTACTCTTTGCTGGAAGAGAATATGTATTTGTTGGACCAGCTGAAAGAAAAGGAAGAAATCTGCAACCATTTGCAGAACGAACTTGATCGGCTTGATGACAAAACGGAGAAGACGAATCGGACACATCAAGAAGAAATGGGTATGTGCAATTCTGATAAGAGATGCCTTAGAACTAACTAATTAACTTTCAACATAGTTTAAAATGTGTCTGGTTGTCTGACTAATTATACTCATCTTCTGCTTTAAATTCATCTTTAGATTATAGGTAAGATACGTATCTGTTTAATGTAAAAGACTAAGGATTTGAAAGTTTAAAATTAGGCAAAAGAGCAACGTTAGACTGGCATAGATTTTCAATAAAACTCTATGAGTTTCAACGGTAATCAGGTATAAATCCCTCTTTTTAAAGGCCAAAAAAATTATAAATGTGAGAGGAATATTTTCATTTTATGTGGAAAGCAATGGACGCAACAAAGTGAAAAATAGGAAATGTAATAAAGCCTGAAAAGGCTAAGCTTTTAGAACTTTGTAAGTACTGATGAAGAAATGGATTGGAATTAATGTCACTAATTAAAGAAGATAAATTCTCGAAAATCTGAAAACCTTTAAAAGCAATTTAGTTCACCAGCGGAGGAAGCTTCCAAGTGATTTTCACATAACTCAAGTTGAAATCCTTATTAAGTGTACAGCTATGATTAGCTGTAAAAGATTCGTTTAGTTGTGCTTTGCAAACATAGACTGCATTTTTGCCTAATTTTAAATGCTACATTTGTGTGCTTTTATTCCCATTGCAATGTAAGTAATATTTAATATTCATTTATTTGATTAATAATGCATATTTGATCATATTTATATTGTATGTAATAATTTTTATAAACATTTACAAGGCTAAGGTAATCAATAAAATATATTCCTAATACAATATGCAGAGTGTCTCAAAAAGGTTGATCAACTAAAAATCATAATTAATTGTTCAATTTAAGAAATGAGTCAAATAAAAATATTGGTTTATGAATTATGAAAACTTTTGAATTATATTTTATGAATTATATTTTGGCAACGTTATGCGAAATTAAACTTTTTATGTTATCTTTCTATGAAAAATGCTTTAGTAATAGCAAGTTGCTTCTTATAGTTAAATTAATTAGTAAGTTGTTTCTCTTTCTGGTACAATCTTTCACGAAAAAATTATGGATCTGTTATACGTGAAACTGGGCTTTAGAGAAATTTCCTGAATTATTAAGGCATATACTACTTTCATAGATGCGCAAGCAACAATTAAATAGGTGGAATAAAACATTTCGAGTTTTAGGATTTGCATTGCCAAAAAAAAAGCTTTAGAAGAATGAGGAACCCATGCTGTGGCAGTTTATCAGTATTTTTATATAATTTCCAAAACAAAATTTCATATTATCTTATAAAAGTCAAATAGAAATTTTAATTTGTCTATTAATACAAAAATGTTTTGCAAATCAAAATTCTCCTGTCTTCTAAATTACCATGTATTATATACCTTATTGCTAAACAATAATTTGCATTTCCAGTTAATAATGAGTTTACCTTTTTCCTTTTTGTTACTCAAAAAGTTTCATTTGAAATATCTTTGATGAAATTTACTACTTAATAATCTGTATCCCTCAGTGATGACCTCAGTGATTATGGGAAACGTTTGCTTCAGTCCTTAAATATTGCTTGGGAATGACCAAACTAATCAGAACAGAAAATACCATGCATTTTTCGAGATATGAATTTGGGTCCAATTAATATGACAGCCAACACTGCTAACCACCGAAGACTCGCTAAGAAGGCGAGAGAAATACCTTATAATGCTTAAAAATGAAAAACAGAAATTTTCACACACATACAAACACACAGAAAAAACACACATACAAACACACAGACAACCATCATTGTCAAAATACTAGAAACGAGTTGTTTGGATCCTAATTCATACTTATTCCCTGAAAACTTATCGAATTTTGAAACCGAAAGCATTATCTCCTTTACCTATGGGCCCACCAGCGCCCGAGCGGTAAAGCCGCTGAATACTGGTAGTTCGGTCCGAGCTTAGAATCCCGCGAACGGGCTGGCTGCATGGGCGTTTTCCTGATTTTCCCATGTGTAACGTGTATACGAGCCAGTTCTCTTAGAAAGTCCACCACGAACTCATCCCTTCCTTAGGCAGACAGCCCTAGTGTGCTTTGCAGGTTGACAGGAGGTAAAAATCAACAGAAATTTGGCTTCAGTGTTGAATAAAACTCTATCAATTTCCAAAGAGATCAGGCATGCGTCTCTCTTCTCCAGCAATAAGAAGTCAATGAGCAAAAAAATTAATATCATAATGTACTTTCGGTAATTTGTTACCGAAATTAATTCGTAGTTCCTCAACTTCAGATTGAGTTGACCATTACTTTTAATGTAAGATAAGAACAGAAAATTGCTAAAGTGGAAAAATAAGATTGTATTTTAGGAAAACAATTTTAATCCAAAATAAAATGGTGCTCATGATAACAGTCAGCTTTGATTTCTGGAATTCTGAAGGCTATTATTATTAATTATATCCTTATAACTGATTTTGAACGTAAAATATGATTAACAATATAATAAGTTTAAAAAATTGAATTTCCTTATATTTTGATTTCAGAAAAATATCGCCAGAAGCTTTGGGAAATCCACATGTCAAGACCAAGAGATCTTCAAGGTTCTTTACACCTAATTTCAGAATTAAAATCCAGAATTGAGGAACTACAAAAGTGCAGCGATAAGCTCAAAATGGACCGTGAAAGGTTGGAGGTAAATAGCAGGAAGAATTTTACAGTAGCCTAATTAAATTAATTTTGTGTCCTTGAAATGTCCTTAAATTTTATACCGAACTGCGCGCAACGAATTTATAGATATCTCTCCAATAATTTCATCAAACAACCAGGAAGAAATCTACACTTGATTGAAATAAATAATAGTTCAAAACAAGGTAAATAGTTTTAAATTGACAAAGGAGAGAAAAGGCAGAATTTTCCTTAACAAGTAAAGAATGTTGCAGATCAGCAAAATCATTCACAAAGTTTAAAGTAGTGTTACAAAGCCCAGTCGCGGAAAGACAGCTTCCTCGCAAGGCGAGTTTAGAGTTGCCAGAAAATGGTAAGGGAAGGCAACGTTGTCATATTTGGCGCGAAATCGTCCATTTGGCGACAAAGTTAGCAATTTGCCATGGATGGAGAGAGAACATTCTAAAACGAATTTTTACCGGTTTACACCGAAATGTTTTCGAAGGCAGGTCAAAAGCTATATAAACCCTGCCTGTACGCAGAATAGTGTGTGTATCGTCGAGCTTTATTTTGAGTGTGTTGACCTCCGAGAGCGATCGACCGAGTCGGGAGCTGTACTTTAGTGTTTTGCCGTGAAGGTTTCTTCAGCCCAGTAACCTAAAGGCTGTGTTGCTGATTGTTTCAGCGTGTTTGTCGTAGTTTTCCGACGACTGTAAACGTGATTTGGAACTGTCCTGAGTAATACTGGCTAAATAAATTGTGTTCTGATTCTTCATCAATTGTTGCCATCAATCATTTCAAATTCATGAACCCGTAGAAAGGCAACAATAACAATCAACCATTAGAAGTTCGATATAGTCCCATAATTCAGAACTGTATTAATGAGTTAAATCCCATAGGTTCCTAGGTAGCTGTATATACACGACGGCCAAGATATCCTGAAAGCCTGGAGAAAAATCTTCTTGTGGCTTAAAAAATAAACTTCCAAAAATTTCTTGATTGCCGCTGATTTTGCAAAAAAATCGCCAGTTATCGATATCGTAGCTAATGAATGCTATTTTAATTAATAAGATTTTCTACAAATGTAACTAGTTTTGGTTTTGATCAACTTGTAGACATAAATTCCGCAAAGTAAAATTTAGCAATGTTTTATATTAGACATTATTAACGGGTCGACATTCAAATTCTATATAATCAGTTATATTTATTCTTATTTTTATTTCAGGAAAGTTTTCAATTTCACAGCAACCAGCAGGCTAGGTTAGCTGATGATTTGATCCGCAAAGTCAGAGATTTCCAAGAAACCGGACCATTGAATTTCAACCGTGGTAAGTTTAATGTATATATGATGACTTAAAAAGTCTGAAATTATTTTGAGCGAGATGTTTTCCGTCTAGGAGTTTAGCTTTATTTGTTTTAATTTCATCTGTTTTCATCAATACTACAATGCAGTTTTTTCAACACAATCCCCATTTCATTGAATACACCTATCCCAAAGAAAAACTAATTTACTCAAGCTATCCTCAAAGAATGCTTTTGATGTCTCCTCAATCCATCTATTGATGGCATAGTTAAACTCTGAAGTAGAATACCTGGTAAATCAAATGCGATAAAAGAAATTTTGGAATAGAATACTCCTCACAGACATTGAAAAAGTTATGAAATTTTCACACCTTCTTTCCAAAAGAAAAAAAATGATTGCTCTTCGCATCTTCCATGATTGTGAAAGCAGTGCTGCAAAAATGTTCCCGTATGTGTCAAAAACTGAATTAGACTAAACAATCTTGCATGGGATAGCTGCATAAAAAAGGTGAATACTTGTCTCTGGCCGATATGCGTCGCCTGTAAGTTCTAAAAATTGAACTAGAGCTCTTCTTAGAAATTTGGAACCACCTTACCTATTTTTCGAGTCGTTCCAAAAATTAAAATTATATATTTGTTCTAGACAACGATTAGAATAGAGATACGATGTGTATGAATTTAAATTTCAGCATTAAATTAAAAAATTGAGTTGAACTCATTGAAAATTAGTGTTAGCAAAAATTCAATTGCAGAGTGTTAAACAAAAATAAATGGCATCCCTATAAGATTTAATTTACACAAAAGGCAAATAAAAGTTTCGAAGAATTATAACACATCCCACCTCAGGTGCCCTTGTAGTATAGGTGATTAGAACGTACAGCAACTGGAAGGTCCGTGGTTCGAATTATAGAGAGTCTACAGTTTATTTTTCATATGTCCTGTCTTTGATAAAATCTGTGTCTAAAATGGAGCTCAAAATAAAATGAAGTGGATAACAAATCATCCATATTTGAATTTAGTCAATCTGGGTGTCATATATCTCCGCAGTTTTTTTTAAATAGGAAAGATTGTAAGGAATTGCCGAATTCCTTTCCCGTGTATATGTTACGGTGAAACACCGAAATCTGGAGAATGTCGACTTTCACAGGTGATTGTAAACATTCACATAGTCGCTTGGTGTATGTCCGAAATACTTTCCAAATACTCTTATTTCTGACTTACACCGGTCAATGTCGACATTCACCATGTACTGATGGTGAATGTTGAACATATAATAATATTATATTTTCTTCTCCGTAATTCAGTTGCGAATAAACGCACTTGAGACTTGAAATAAGAACTTAAGAACATGAGAACCTAAAAACATACAATACATTCAAAATGAGAAAGGAAAATAATAGAAGTTGAAAAATTATTTAATTATACAGTACGTTCTAAATGAGAAAATAAAATAACAGTAATAAAAAACTTACTAAATCATGTGATTCAAATCTTATTTTTTGCAACAACTTAAACTATTATGACACTTTATGACCTCTCTTTTCGACCTCCACCACAGCATATCTGTGATTGTCGACATACACCGGTGAGGGTCCGAATGTACAAGAATGTAATGCAATATTCGATCTTTCACCGACGTATTTGGTGAATGTTGACATTCTCCGGTGAAAGTCGACATTCTCCAATTTCGGTCTTTCACGGTAACATACATAATAAGCACATTGCAACTGGCAAGTGGAAGCTTTGTGGTTCGAATCTTGAAAGAAGAGCAGAGCTTATTTTTCATGTCTGTTGTTTTCATGTTTTAGTGATATCAGAAGACCAACAGCTGACTTCAGTTGTTAGCATGTGTTCCGCAGAAAATTCCCATAACCCGCGTTCTCGTGAAAAATTCCGCTCAGAATATAATAAAGAAGTTAAAAATCAAATTTAAAAAATGTTACAGCGGTTTAAATCCATCGTTGATATATCCCACCAAAGTTATTGGTGACGACAAAACTATTCTCTGAGGACAAGTAGCGTTCGTCTTCATATAATGCTTCTCTCTCCGTACTCAAAAGCAGTCCCCTTTTTACTCCAGAAAGTCACGGACATGTTAGATTAATTGGAATAAAGAACCGACAAGCAATTAAGAGATCATTTACAACAGCGTCGTTTATCACTATCTCCTTATGATATCAAAACGCTGATTGCGGTATTGCAAATTTGAGAATGTTCTGTTAAAATTCATACATAGTCCTTACCATTTTCGCATTTGAAAATTTCGAGCAAGAGTCAAGAGACTAGCCAGTCTACAAATAGTAGACAGAGCTTTGTTTTTCTCCTTGCCCCTCACATATACCCATTTTTAAAGTCCAACAACAGTTTATGAAACAGAAAGGCGTTTCAGGCGTTTGAATCGCCCTATGTTTTGCTAGTCGAGAGATAAATTTATAGGATCGTACTTGCGAAGGGCATTGCTATCCAAGGGGATTTAATCATTAATTATTTGGGTACTTTTCTTTTATCCCAGTTCACATTTTCTTTGTCATAATTTTGGAGTGAATAATTTGTTTGGCGAGAAAATATTTCTAGACATAGTTTGGCAACACTTATCTGTTTGTTATGTGTGGTATTTTTTATCCTACAAAGAAAAAAAAAACAGCGCCTGCAAATGTTATTTGCAATTTGTCTCTCAGTACATCAATTTCATTCGTTAATTTTTCTTCACTTTAGAAGCTAAGCTTTTAATTAATAATGATAACCAAATTAAGCTTTTTAGAATTTTCTTCTTACGAAACTAAAAACTACATCTATATTTCAAAAGTTTGGCAGGGTTGCCAAAATCTCTCCAAATATCTTATTGAAATTATCGCCAAGAATATAAGATCTGAGATAACAAATAAGTGCCCTTATTTTATTTCATTTATTTATTCTTTTTTTAAATAATAAAGGTACCTAATTGGTAGCAAAAGAAATTAAATACTCTCAATCAAATTACAATTTTGAATGACCGATAAGTTCTATTTATTCTACTTATTTATTGCTAATAGGTAGCAAAATTTAAAAGAACCATCCAAGGGCTCCATCTGCCACTGTGATATTCGTGTAATTTCAGAAAGGAAATAAGTATTCTGTTACATTTTTGTAATTAATAATCCATCGTTAATTTGGATTAATATGCATCACAACTTATGAAAATTTTGGGTACTTACCTATTATCCCTTCGACCGTTAAAGTTGGTCACTACTGAACCATGAAATGTGGCACATATCTGGCCAAAGCTGCACCCATCATTCCTGCAGAGTTCTGAAGTCACTGACGCCTGCTTATTTAATAAACAATCAGAATTCGATTCGCTTTGTTTTTACGCTTCGTGAAAATGCTTTAGTCGGTTTCTATTATTTTGTTTAGTCTTTCGAGTTTTGTTTAGAAAGAACTGAGTGCAAATTTCCTGCGGATCACTGTTCTTATCTACTGTTTTGTCGGCTATATTCCGCTGATTATATAGTGTACAGCAGGAACAGTTAATTTAAATCCTTGTTCATAAAAAAAAAAAAAAAAAAAGTGACTTATCGGAACAGATTTAATCGGGATTTCATCAGTCAAAAGAGCAGATATTGTGAGAATGTTGTTGTGTCTAACGTATGATAACCGGATCTAAATTGCACTGCTTGGTGACAGTTTCACGGTCTATGAGATAATACGTAAGAACCAAATTTTGTAAATATTTATAAATGATTTTATTTTTCAGGTTATCGTCAAAAATAGCAGAGAGTAATAAAATGCTATATAGCTCATATCATCCATTGTTAACTCAGATTAATATGTATTAGTGCTTAAGAATATTTTACATTTGTTAATCATCACTTATATTTTAAATGCATTCACATTAATCATCATTTGCATTTTAATTACATTTATTATCATTTATTAATCATATTATTTTTTCAGGTTGTAGACGAAAATGGCGGAGAGTAATAAAATGTGATCCAAGCAGCATATCAAGAATCCACGATTTGTCTACAAAATTATTACAGCAGGTAAAAAATTATTCATTTATTTCTACTTTTTTTCATTTGCGTCACCTTATACTCATTTACTGGCTTAAACTGAATGTTGAAGATAAAACTATACTACACATCTAAATGATTAATTCTAAAGCAGTGATTAATGATCGATTTTGATACATGAAAAAAATAAAAGTACTTGTTACGATCTGTAATGCACTTCTGCTGCTTAGTAAACAGAAAATTTAACTAAAACCAATCAAAAAAATATTCAGTTTTAGTTAAATTTTTAGTTTTAGGTAATCAATTTAATTAATCCAAATCCTTGTTATCAAGTGCTTTTGTTATCAAAACTGTACATATCGCACAGTTTTCTTTATATGTGCTTTTCGCCATCTAATTATTTTTTTCTTTTTTATCTATAAATGAGAACTACATTTATTGGTAGGTAACTTTTCACGCGTAAGAGAAAAAAATCGGATATCTTCCTTTTAATAGTAAAACTGATGCAAAAGTTATTGAAAGGAATTAGTAAGGAAGCAACCTTGTATTTGGCGTAGATTAGAAAAAAACTCAATCGAGTTCGAGGGCAACTAGGTCCTTCTTCATCAGGAGCGAAGAAATTTGCAAGAATTCAAAGCAGCGGACTAACGGTCCTATTTATACCCTACTACAGTAAAATAAACAGGAAGATAGTGCCATCTGTCGGCAAAAATTAATATAGAAAATTCGAATTATTATAAGGAATTGATTGTCCCTAATGTTGTTTTTTGTGATGCTTAATATGCATAACTGGCACCAAAAACTTACCAAAACTCTGTGTCATAAACCACTTTCTCTAATAAACAAAAATGACAAAATGTGACTACCTAAGAGACGGCACAAAAATCGTCACATTTTACCTTTTTTTTATAGACGGGAATTTAAGTGTGCATATTTACATTCGCGTTTGTTTGACATAGCAGGTATTTTTTATAAATTCGCTTTCTAGATTTTTACTTGACTAGCGGTCCCCATACGTTTTAATTGCGGGATGTTCCAGATAATTTTAAACATATTAAGATTTGAAAACATCTTGAAGAAATTTAGATTAAAATAACACGCCGAATAACGATTCTTGGAGAAGTTAAACAACAAGGACGACCCTAATTCCAATCCGTCTTTAAACTATGCCGGTTAAGGAAATTATGTTTCAGTTTTCTTGTTTTATCTATAGATGGTGCCAGTAGTTTGACTTCTTTCCAGCCATTCTTATCACTATATTCTATCTCGTTCCTTTTTGCAATCAGTCAGCTGAAGAAGATCGTTTTATATTTAAACCATCAAAATTAGTGCTGCATAATTTACAAATATTAAGCTGATTCTTCTTTCTCACCTTCTCCAATAATCTTGAAGGAAGTTTACTGCTTCAAATAAACAAATCTTGTCCTAGCAAAAAAAAAGTAATTAATGTATAATAACAGAAACTAACAGATGATAAAAAGGAAATGAATCTGGAAGTAGTCCTTGGAAAGTGTTGTCAGTGAGCAAAACTTTAAGACCTTTAAATATATGTAACGCATGATTTTCAGAATAATGTTATTCAGCAAAACATAATGCCATTAATTTAATTTTCAAATTTAGTCATTAATTAACAAACTGAGTAGTTTAAAAGCAACAAACGCACTTTTTAATGTTTTAAATCTTAATTTCACTTTTTTCAATAAATTAAAATACATTTAATTTGCAATATATTGACCTTAAATGTTTTATGACAACTGGCAGCTTTGTTGTAATTAATAAAAAATATTTCTAATGCCATATGTTACGTAATTATCAGAATGTCGTTTTTAATGATATTTTACGTGTTTTAAATTTTGTTAGTATTTCTTTTAACTTTTTGAAATTTGGAATTGTAAACTATTTTTTGCAGTACTAGATTGTAACTAGAGATTTTCAAATTGCAATCATCTTTCCCTTTTTCAATAAATGCGGCTATGTGGCGAATAATTTTGTTCCGAAGTACCGTAAATTTTTACTGGAAGGTGTTACCTGGCCAAAGCTGCTGTAGAAAGACTATGATATTTTGATTCATTTCATAAACTACAATTTCTTGATTTCCCGACCAAGAGTTTAGATATTCAGGAAAAGACGTAAAAATAGATATCATCTACATATATAGTTACAATAAGCTCAAACGTTAGTTTACAGGTAGTACTTGGAATACATTTGTAACATGTGAATTACTGTGCGTGACTTACTTGAGCAGAAGTTCGCAGTAGAATGAAGAAGTTCAGTTGTCTAGTTCCAAAATGCGTTTCTTCTTTTAGAATGTTTCTGAGAAAGCCATGTGTTGTTGATGACGTGATTCAATACATAAACGAAACTTGAAAGGAGCTTAATGAAAGTAAAGTATTTTGTCGCAAGTTGAGCTTGGGTGTCCAGTCAAAGTTATAGATATTTGTGACTACAGAAGATGAATAGTTTGAACACTTAAGAAATAAATATTCAAGAGAATTTATAAGAATAAAACTACATTGTATTAGCAGTTACTTTTTTTGGATGTTTGTTTCGTGACTATATATTTATATTTGTAGTAAAATTTACCTTTTCATTTTAGGTTAGTTTCTGCATTTGTAATTTACACCACTCTGTAGTTAGTCATGTAGACTTTCTTAATTTTCCTAATACCATTTTCTCCTTTTCAGTTCAAAAGCTGCAGACCACTTTTTTTCACATTTTACAGCATTCTGTATAACTTTTAGGCAAGAGATGTGGAACAAAGTCTCATGGAACGCACAAGACAAGTTTGCCACCTTAGGTGGGAACTATTACATAGGGACATGTCTGCTGTCTTGCTTCAAGCAGCATTGCACAGAGTTACAAGTCAAGGTGAGCCAGTCACAATACTTCCAACTTGGGACAAAAGAAGAAATAAGTTCAAGAACATCAAGGCGTGGTCAGTCGACACAACAACACGTCGTCCGTCCGAGGTAAGTGGCTAAACCTCTTAATCCCAAATCTCTGGATCTGGCAGCCATGCTGCCATCAATAATTTTTGGATGTTGCCTTGGCACACAGCATCCAGCGCAACAACAATTGGTGTCACATATAGTGCTGCATTATCTTTTTCATTCAAGAACCCAGAGAATGCCCTTGGAGATAAGAAACAACAGGCTTCAGCACATCAGTTGTGTAATTTTAGCTGTTGAACGTACTGGGAATGCGTAATCGACGCGAGTGATATTGAACTATAATGATGCCTTCTTTATGTTCACGAAAATGAAGCAATGTTTTAAAATGTCATTAGGGCAACTCAAAACTTTTCCATCACAAAAATTCTCAGAAAATAACAAAATGCATTCGATTAGCATACATTCAGTAAAACTCAATACTGTTTCAGTAAAATATATCCTAACATTTTTTAATTAAATTCTTTAGCTGTTCTCTCGGTCTGTTACAAAGCTCTCTCCTAACCTTTTTCGAATTTTTCAGTGAATTAATCATAATTTTTCAAGTGTTGAACATTTACTGTGCCTTTAAATTTCTACAGCCAGCAGCCAAATATAAATCGGGGCTTGGCACCTTGGCGGTAAACCCTCTGGGTTTCATCATATACGCATTTTGTACAGTTATGGAAACGTTTTGCGTAAGTAACCACATTAAACAGTTTTTCTTTACCTTCGCCACATTGTGCAACCCATGAGCGGTATTTTCAGTACCACTATCATTATTTTCCAGCTTTTGACTTTTTGACATACATATTGAAATGTAATTAGTGGTAAAAAACCGCATTTGGACAAATAGCTACATTTTCTGTCACCCATTTGTACAGCAATAAGGATTGAACTGGTTTACTTGATTATGGCCGAACACATTACCTGCCTACATGAAAGGCAACCTTCTTGGAGAATTTTCTAATAGAAATTTACCCGAATTCACATTACACATAAGGAATGCCGTGAAAACTACATACAGTTACCTAGACACACACACAAAAAAAAAGAAGAAATACAATGCTATCAGTACTGCAGTTAAAACTAACTCCAGTATTAGATAGTCATTTTAGACCACAGCCCCAAGTAAAATGAGTTAATGTAATTTGTAGAAATATATCACAATTAGCAGAACATTCTTCCACTGTCTGCAATACTCCTTTTAACAGTTAGTAAAACTGGTAGTGATGTTAGCTATTTGAATGTATAGCTGAACTTTGTTTTTCCACACTAGCGCAAAATACTGTAAATTCTAAGGGTAGGCTCTTTTTAACATTTTAAGTCCAAAGGCTCTTAAAACATGTATATGCGTGTAAATGAAAAATGCCTCTTAGGGCGTAATATAAAAACCGAAAGTTTTCAGATTTATATATATAAATTTCCGCCTTTTCCAACAGGCTTCCATAAGCATTTCCAGCACTTCTAACTTTAGAAATTAAACCAAAAAAACTTTCTTGCGCATCTTGTATTGTTGAATACATTTTGTATGAAATGGATTTTGTAAACTACTATACTAAAAGAATTTTGTAACATATTTCTTTTATGCAGCCAGATATTTGATTTGAATTTTCGTTTTCTGCCAGGATCTCGTGACGGATGACTGGTTGCAAGAACGACTACGGCAATTATCGATGACCCCATACAATGATTGGGCAAATATTGATTTTTCACCTAATGATCTTATGGCAACGGCTCACGAGCTGAAGAAAGAAACACTTCGATTATCCATTTCTAGGCCAGGTATTCTTTCAGTTTACATCAACCCACGGCAACCTAGTATATTTTGAGCTACAATCCATGATACATTTAATGAACAGGTTAACTGTATTCATTCAGCGGTTAAATAGCGTTGAAAAAAATGTTTTGGCGAATTTATTTCAACCGTATGCACATTTATACAGAGTGACCGCTAATTCATGGTACAAATTTTGAGGGCTGGTACAGGACACTGTAACTACAGCAGTTTGTAAATTAATTTTAATTATTTTTAATTTTGAATTAGTTTAATTAGTTTCGTAAATTGATTAATTCTGTAAATTAATCTTTGTAAATTAATTTCCACTTGTAAACAATGGTGTTATGAAAATAAAACATTTTCCCTATCATTTGTTCTTTCCTGTTGTTTGTGCTACGATGATTCACTTTTAACCATACATTCCTATACATAATGTGATTGTTACAATGTCCTGTACCAGCCCTCAAAGTTTGTACCATGAATTAGCAGTCACCCTGTATAAAACATAAGTGTTTGTAAAATTTTATAAACGTTATCCTTGAGTTGTACAGATTGCTTGTTCATTGTTTTCTAGGCATATATTAATTTTCTCAATACATTTGCCACTTGCACCATTTGCACCACTTGTCACTAAATGCTGACGTTCGTGCGAAATCAAGTAACAGTCCCCAGCTGAAGTTAAGAGACTTCTGTCAAACTGAGCTGTTGAGCCCTAAAATAAATAAACCAAACTGGTAAAAAGGAATGCTCGAAACTTCGAATCAGTATTCATTCAGTAAACCTTTGTTTTTTCAACACGATCTGTTCGCTATAACATCATTTCAATGCTCCAGTAATAATAAAATAGCTTACTTTCATTTTGTGTTTCTTTGAACAAAATATTTCAGTGTAGATGATATCTTTGTCTTAATAGTTTAAATCGTGATCTTCGTCAATTGGTTAATTGTGAAATCGCTTAATCTATATTGCTTCTTTCTTTCTTTGGGGAATGTAAGAACCACAAGGTTTAACAATATAATGGTTGATAATGTCGAAGAATAGATAACGATGTTCATCAAAAGGAAAGTTACGATGTTGGAGGTATTGATGTTCATTCTTTCTGCTTATTCGTAATGGCATCAATATCCGCAGTTACTTGTGACGTGGCATAAACAGGTTACCAGATGTAAATACGCATATACATTTTTTGTCGCTAAAACTCAATAATAAATTATAAAGAAACCTCGCTTACCTGTCAGACGCATTCTCGCCTTTTGCCATTTTCTCTAAATTTTTTTGGACGACACAATAAATACATTTACAATAAATGGAAATGCATATAAACTTTATTTAATGCTTCGCCTTCGTGTTACATCTCTCTCAATCATCAAGGTTCTGCACTATCCCAAGGAATTCAAGCGCAAACAGCGTCATCTGGTGCGTTACAGTTTCTACACCAGATTTGGTGCACATTTTGGACTGGCGTACTAGTCACTAGAAAGTTATTACTTTCTAAAGATCTAAAGTATTACTAAAGTTTACTAGTATTACTAAAGTTTGCTAATATTACCTACACGTCCGCCAGAATAAATGGTACTTTTACCGTTAAAGCCAGCCTACTGAAAGCTAGTAGTTCGACTGGGATTTTAATCCCGATATCGGACATAGACTTTCGTGATTTTCCCGGTGTGTAACATAGATTAGGGTCCGTTAGAAAGTCCTGCAAATCAAACCATGCATTTTCGGTGCCGTATTGACGCATTTTTGGCTTATTTATTTCTCCACGTCTTTGAGTCGATACTCGACGAAACGGAAGAGTGAGGAACAGCAACAAAGTAACATTTCCTAATTTCATGATAAAATCCTCCAAAAACCTGTGAGAACAAGGCCTACGTTATTTTTTTAGTTAAAGGAGTGTTAGCCCATAAGGGTTATTAGTCTCGAAACGGCATTTTGCATCGAGTCACTAAAAGCGTTAAATCACTTTTCAAATTATTGCGACCAAATATTATTGCCCTGTAGTTTATTTAAAAAAGTTAAATAATGAAGAATCTATATGAATATATGTATGTTTCTCGCCTTTTGAGAAAACAACGGTACCTAGACCCATCAAATTTTGATTAACGTAATCCTACATCCGAATATGAGCACTTGGAAGCCCGAATTTTTAATTTTAATTTTTTTTATTGTCTATTTCACATTGTGTAAAACGTTAAAGAATTTTGTTTAACAAAATCAACGATTTCAAAGCGAGCAGTAGCAACGCTGTACGGAATAAAATATGTTTATCTCGTTTATCTCCAGAGCGCGAGATTGTCTATCGCAAATGCTAATACGCTGTTTTTAAATATTTTTAGTAAAATTTGGCGTTAGCCTAAATGCTCTCGAAACGTGTATGTGTATGTAAAAGGAAAAAAAAGAAAAAAAAAACGCCCGTTCGGGCGTAATATAAAATTTAAAAGGCCTTTCAAATGGTTTTTTTTTTTTTTTTTTTTTTTTTTTTTTTTTTTTTTTTTTTTTTTTTATTTTACCCAATTTTAATTCTCTGCGTCATGTTATAGTTTTCGTAATAACCTCCTGCTGCATTATGTCGAAATTAAGATCTATGCATTAACAGATCTAAAAATTTTAAGATTATTTCAGCATTTAACAGCTTTTCAGTAAATTTCCTTCTGTTGCGGAATTAATGGTAATGAAAATGATATTTCCTCGCCAAGAAACATTTCGTGTTTTTTCTGTAACCTGATAATAGCTTTTACTGTCTAAAATTTTGGATGAGTTTAATTTACTAATAGACTTTCCATAAATAGTCATTGCAAACATGTAGCGAGAAGGCTTCGTATATTCTTGATACAAATCAGTCTAATTCCAAATTCTCTAAAGACATGCTGCTGTCGCAAAATTCATAGTTTTGAAGGGCGATGATTGCTCATAGGCTTATCTATTTGGACTGGATGATTTCTCTGTTTGCGTTTAATGCTAATCTAGAGAGATAATGGTGTCTAATTACTTAGGCAGTGTTCCATACCAATTAATTTCAACTGCATTATTCGGAAACATTGAAGGTCGCAGATGTCTAATAGTCTGGTAGTCAACAGTCTGCCACATTTAAAATTTAAAAAAATCAATCTTTTGCATTTTCTCCATAAATTTGATGTAAATATCTCAAATTTTAGTCAATTAAAAACAAATAAAAGGGACATAAGTTGGCATTAATTGAATAGCAAATTATACAAATATATATTTGTAACATGAAATAAGAGCGTATATTTTATTGTTTGGAATTTTTATTCCATATGTAATATATAAAACATCCATTTTTACGATACGTTCTCGACTTTAAACAATACTCTGTATTTTCTTTTTAAGAAATCTTGTAACTAAAATCACATATCTAGGAACAATTATAGCAAATAATGACTACAGCCCTTTTGTCAAGCATCCTGTTTTAAAACAATCACTCTACAATATATTTAGCGTTACAGTGAGAACTTTCGTGTTTTTCTTATGTGTAACATAATTACGAGCTAGTATCCGTTAAAAAGGTCCGTCAAGAAGGCATCCCTTTTCTAAAGCAGACAGCCCTCGTGTATTTTGTCATAACTCAAAACACCTAACAAAATATTTATTGCTAAAATTTTTATTTAGTAATATTAATTAATATTAGTAATTTTATTTAGTATTTTATTATTAAAACTTTTATTTTATTTTTATTTAGGAATTTGTTTAAAAAATGCAACAGTTATTGCTATTAGTATTATTATTATTTTACAGACAGAGTATCTGATTCTGAAGAGAAAAAATCTGCTACATGGTCTGCGGAATCGGAAGTAAGTGTTTAATTGTTATTATTATCTAATCTCGAATTACGATAGGCTGCATTTCACATCAGTTAAGTTCTCCGGAAAATTTTTATTCAGAAAAATTTATATTTATGTGAAAATTATTTCATGCATGATAAATACTCTGTGTTAATTATTCCATGCATGCTAAATAGCTTTCCTCTACTGATGTTCTAAAATTCAAAGGAACATTCATTGAGAATTCACGCATCCGCAATTTAAAAATCCAAAAATTTCTAGAATATAAATTTCAAATAACTCTTTTCCAAAACAAGAATATAAGTTCTAACCTTGACTTCTTTTCAAAAATATATTTATTTTGATCAAGTATTCAGCATTCTCATTAAATTTTTAACAATTATACTAGGATATGTTTCTATACCTCTCATTTTAACGGTTGTATTATTTTGTAGTGTTTCAAACAGATATTTAATTATCTGAAATCCGTTTCGAATGTTTTAAATCTCAAAAATTTGTTACTCTTTAAATTCTGAGAGTATAGTGCAGAACTCGGATACACAATAAAACTTCGATCAACTTTGTTGATCCCTGAATAATGATAGTTCAGTTCGGGTTCATATCTCACGGAAAGGACGGCTGCATGAGAGTTTCCGTGTTTTTCCCCATGGCATATTTGTGAACACAAGCTATTTTCCTCAAAGCGTCTTCTCTGAAGGCATCTGTTCCTTTAGGCAGATAACTTTAACAGTAAGAAACAAGAAACCTTCTCTAAGCTGTATGCTTAAAATACCGAAATGTCCGTTCCCATGCATTATTCACCCCGTACGTTTCTTTCCTTCCCGTCTATTAACGGATAAAGAGGTGTGAAAACTTAAAATGGCACCCTTTCTACTTCTTATAATCGAAGCTTCCATTAGTCTTTTAGGACAAGTTGTCTGCAATAAACTGATAAATGGATTTGGAGAAATTACACCTGCTACTGCATATATTAAAGAAAGGGGAAGAAAACAACATCGCAACCTCGGCCGTATCGGGCGGTTGTCATCGTTTGAATGAAAGGCCGTCTAAGGGGTTTTGGTCTTCAAAGGGTGAATTATATTCTGCTGAATTCCAAGGCGCGAAACGCTTTCTCAACTACAGACGAGGGCAGTTTTGCCTCTCAGTTAAATGGCACACGCTGATTGTCTACACCATTCTATAGAATGCAAGTAAAATTGATCGAAGCTGCACTCACACATATCCTTTCTTTCATCACGATAATTTCTATAGCTTATTAAAACCGTATGCAGTAGTACCTCGATTTATCTTTCTAATATGTGTCGTTCGTTGTTTTAGTCTTGAATGATACCTTACGTAAATAACGTTATTCTTTGTTCCCGCATCCATCATATACTGAACTGTCATTTTACCGCATTAATTATGTGTCAGCCATGATCCTGTAAAACCCCATCTACACGAGGAAACATATCTCCGAATAAGTAAATATCTCTATGTCTGCGGCGCCTGCACTGGTCTGTCAACGCAGGGAATATATCTCAGGTGAGTCATGTCTGTGATGCTTGCACTGGATTCGCGATCATTGCGCATGACGAGATACATTGTGATACATTGTCACTCGAGACTTATTTCAGACAGCCAAAGAAATTGTGAATGGAAATTACGTGTCCAAAAATTGTGGTATCTACTCTCAACGTTTAGCTTACTAAATAGCATGGCTCGAATCGTTTGGAGGTTTCGTTATTACTCTAACAAATTTAATTTACTTATGATGCTATATGTCTTTCAGATGATAATTTTGAATAGATTTCTTTATAAGTAGAATATTTTTTCACCTTGATATAAATATTTGCTATTATAAGCTACACAGCGATGCACTTTTTTTACCTCATTAATTAACATTAACTAAATTCTCTAGAATATTTTTCCTTTTTAAAAGAGATTACTGCATGTCTATGTTCCCAGAAGTCTGACAACAAGAAAGGCCTTAATTTATCGTCTATTTGCATACGATTAAATTTCCGATTTTCTATTGTTATTGCCAGCTAGCTCGATCGTTTGAGTATTTACCGAAATTTTTAAATTTTCCGTGAGCCAGTAAATTACGAGTTCGAATAGAACTAAGCTATTTTCTGATTGTTGCTGCCCAGCTAGCAAAGTGGTTTAGTAGTAACACTAACTGCTGTAGCCATGGGCCCGACTTCGAGTCCCCGGAGATGGCATGGGTGTAAGGTGATTCCATAATAAAATGGCCACTACTTCCTGCCCTTGTAGTGACGCAAGACTAAATGGCTATTTAATAAAACGACCGGCCATTAAAAAAAAGGCAAAATTCTGATTTTTTCCTCTAAAAGTAGATATTTTATTTTTTCTCTAATTTTGTAATTAACAGATATCTGTTAATATCAAAAGTTGTATACGTAACATATAACAATTTTATATTATTTTATTATTACCCATAAATTTTGATTTATGATAATTTTATATTAATTATATAAATATCAGATTTTTTAGTTATTTGTAAAGTGATAATTTTCCCTCCTCTTACATGTAATTCAAAAGATGCTTTATTATGACTCTACTTATCAGCAATGTGCGTTACATTTTATGCTATATATGAAGCAATAGATTAATTTTCTTTTTTTAATGTTATGATTATTATATTTCACAATTAATTGCTTTTCTTTCAAACTTCATTAAAAGCCGTGCCATACATAAAGCTTTCTAACAGTCTATACATAACGTTCACTCTTCTTACAATAAAATTTCACGATAAAAACTCGCTGTTTCTTTGGGTAACGCTTCACATCGAATAATATTCTTGAATTGGAACATTTACCTGTTTTAAGTATGTAAAAATATCTTTCATTTTCTAAGAATAAAATGTTCTTTCGGACATAATAAATCTGGCAGTTTCAGGGAGACACCCTATCATTCATATGCCTTATCTAGACTTGTATCAACCTTCTCTGAAGATACTACATATTGCTTTGCAACCGCCTTCACTTATTCAGAGTCGTCTTATATACCAGGCCGTTTCAGTTTTGATCAGTTCATAATGATCAGTTTTATTTACAACTGTTCCTGAAAATTTTGCAAAGAAGCTTAATTTAATTAAATTAAGAGATAAATTTAATTCATGAAAAATATCTATTAGTGAATCCCGTTTTGAAATCCGATATGATAGATCTACAGTTCTTTGCGAAAAAAACTGCTGTTTATCCATGTAGATAAAATATACTTATAATCTTACTGTAAATTTGTTATTTAATTTAATGCTTTCCACAGATGGCTGACAGCGATCGCTATTATGATACAGGATCTGCTGCAAACAGCCGCTCATCGTCGTTCTCCAGTGGTCCAGGTGGTTTGCGAGGTTCACACTCTGATACCAGGTTGTACGAAAGAAGTAGAGCACTACGACGTAATTCATCGAGCAGTATGAGCTGCGTGGAGGCCAGTGATAGTTCAAGTCTCCACGACAGTGACAAAGCACATTTCTTAGTGAAGAAATTTCCTTGGAGGACTCAGTGGAGATCTTTAGATAACGTATCATCTTCTTGCTCATCAAGGAGGTAAGATTAGAATTCAATGCTTTTGAGTGAGACTTGTTTTATAAATAAATGAATTCAGTCTATGGTTTCGGTGCATGCAATGAAAAAAGGAAAAACATATAAAGTATTTCTCCCACTTTCTTAGCATGCCTTCGTAGTGTAGTGATCAGTACGCTCGGCGCGTATTCAAGAGGCCCATGGTTCAAGTCCCGGGGAAGGTGTTGCTCATTTTTCACGTTTCCTGCTTTAAAAAAATACCTAATGTCTACAAACAAATTCATTTGACTCTTCTGAAAGACCAGACCTTGTCTATTGTGGGTATTACACGCACATGGTTAGTCATCTGGTTTGTTCACAAGACCCTCAGACGTGAGCGATTCCTCCATTAGTGAACTCAATCAAGTTTGAAGTTTGTTGAAAAAATTTTGTACATCTTTTTTTATCGTTGTAGAGTATCCTTATGACCAGTTCTCAAAAAATGCAACAGTGAACGATGCTCGCTACTGCAAAACACTGAAACTTTTGAGCAATAAGATTAAAACAATTAATCTGGAACGTTATCTCGAAGCATCGTTCTTTTGCGGGAAAACGCGAGGCCACATACAGCACCTGACACTTAAAAAAATCCGATAATTCGGCTTAAATGTATTACACTACTCTTATCATCTCCCAACGAGTCTGGTCCAATAAAACATCCCACAAAAGGAAGCGCTTTGAATCGAAAGTGCAAAACGCATTTTCGTTTATGGCTTCATATACAGCCTGAAGAGTTCAATACTAAAGGAATTTACAGGTTATTATACCTACGAACAATCATAGATTATTCGTAGAATAAACACTACTTCTGAAATCACAATAAGCATTTACTCATCAAATAATCTGTATATTCACTTCAAGTTGACTAGATATTTGAGCTTTCTTTGGTAAAGATACCGAAAAATTGCCTTTATAAATTTAAACAATATCTAAATTGAAGCTCCCTAGAAATATATGTAAGCTTTCATCATAAATAGTTAAGGAATTTCCGCTATTTACTTATTCAGCATCTACTATTATGTTCCTTTTAATAATTAGGTCATAAAAACCCTCCAGTGTAATAAAGCTGAATGCTAGAAGTTCGGTTTCAGGTGAAACGGGCTAGCTGCATGTTGATTTTAGTGCCTTTTCTCCAAGTGTAACATGAATATGAGCTAGTTTTTTTAGAGATGTCGTTCACGAAGGCATCTCTTCCCTTAGATAGATAACTGTAGTGTGGTCCACCATACTCAAATAATCTAACCTAACCAAGTTTATCTTTAAATTCGGAAGTAACCATGAAAAATGAATCTTTCATCTCCCGAAACGACCTTTGACCGGCCGGCTAAAGCATTGGTAATTCACATTTACGTTCTATTATTGGTGCTTGAATGAGTTGGTTATCTGAAGTTGTTTATTTACTCTCCTCGTGGGTATCTGACATACAGCACGTTTTCCTTTCGAAGACAGTCGACTTCTGAGACAGGTAGTTTTCGTGTGCCCATAGAGCTGTGAGGCCGTACACGTACAAATATTTTCTGATTCCGGAGGAGACAATTCCGTCGTAATCGAATAATCCAACCCAATCATTTTATTTCTCCGGTACTGAGCTGAAACCTTTTTCCTTTAAACCTGGAACTGACGTAAACGTACATATCTTAATTTGAAATTTTAATTTTGAAAATTCTTGATGTTACTTTTATTTTTCAGTGTTGCAGCATTTGTAATTGTTTAATTTTTTACTGCTTTAACATTTCTAATTGTGCACTTTGCCTGCTGAAACTCTGTTTCAAATTTTTATTCTGGTCTTTTAAGTCCTATCTTGAATCATTTCTTCAACCATAACAGTATCCCAGATGCCTACAGACTCCTCGTCACACACTGGTCTCTTAAGACTTCCCCACTCTAGAGAGCTCAAGAGGACTTTTGACTCAAACTTTTACTCCAGATAAGGCAAATACATACAGTTAGTCTAGCTGCTAAAGATACAAGGATTAATATAGATTTATTGCAGAGAATGCCAAGTGTATCTTTCAAAATTGATAGAATTTGTGATGGTGCCTTCAAGTCTAGAACCCAGATGGTCCAACATCCAACAGCCTTTCACTGAAAGATATGACTTAATTTAAGAATACTACATAAGAAAAAGCAAACTAGAAATTCAGAAAAGAATTAGATGCATAATGTATAAACTACATAAATCTTCATTCTTCAATTAAATATGAAATTTTCGTGAACCGCAAGGAAGTTAATTACTCTAGACAGCTTCTTCTTATGTAGCCCATAATTAAAAGTTTCTTCGCGTTATCTTAGTTGACATCACCAAAGGAAGAGAGTTTCTTCACACGCTTTGAAGTACAGTAGATTCTAGAATAATATAAGAAACATTAACATCCGATGTGTAGTATTTTATATTAAGTCATCCAGAATATATCGGAAAGCATTTGTAATTAGTAAGAGCTTCATTCGGATACCTGTCTCAACATTTTCTGCAAGACATTTTAACAGAAATTTGGGTCTAAATCCTACTTCACATACTTCCCACCATCTAGTCTTATTTCGTTGTATTGAACTTATAAAACTTTGCTTTTGTTATTATAATCGTAGTTTTTATGATGAAGATTCATTCCATTACATCATCGACTTTGCAATGCTGCTATCTTACTTATCTTACGCTATTATATTTAATAGTCTATGTTCAATCTTACTGAACATCATACTATGAATTGGTAGTATGATTTAACTTTCTTAGGGAAAAACTCGAACCCTGAATTTCCTCGAATCCAAATTCGGAAGGACTCTCGAATTTCAAACCTTTCGTTTCTCTTAAATAAGGACAGAAGAAGGAAATGAAGAAAACCTTTACTTATAACTTAAAAGGTTTTAAGTGAAGCCCAATTTAAAATCTGCCTAAACAAATTTTAGAATGCAGTTTTAAAAAATATAGCCACGTTTGTTGAAAAGGATTAAGAAATTTATGCAGACATGGATCCAATTGGTAGACAACTAAAGTAATGCATATGAGGCAGCATTTATATACCATGACATGAACTGCTAAAAACATCCGGGACCAATTAGTAGTAGGTTAATTATGTCAAGAATTAAGACAATACAGAAATTAATTTCAAGAATTTTCGAGAAAGTGCGTTGCATCGATTACTTGAAAATCCCAGGAGATTGGCACAGCTAGATGACTAGTTTAGTATTGTATCGGTATGACTCTCAGAGCCGTCACGAGACAGTATTATGATTCAAACTCTGCAGGAATTTCAGCAATTGTGTTTACCTTTTAATGAAAGCTTGTATTAAGCTAATGTTTTGAATTAAAACATTTAACCGTTTTTAGGTTTGGTTTGAAATATTCGAATAATGAGAAACGCGCTAAGATTCGAAATTTGAAATTTCAGGTCTTTTAGAAGAGTCATTGAAAGTGAAGATTCGAATGTCACACCTTTAGAAAAAGTATACATACATATAAACGATAATTCAGATCACATCCAATAAATTAGATCAAACTCTTGAGACTTGATTTTATCTCTGTATGTTAATCCTCATATAGTATGGGAAAAAATGCAAAAAGCAAAAAGCGCAAAAAGCGCGAAAAATCAACAAAAATTTTTTATGCAAAAAGCGCGAAAACTCAACTGTATCCTCTCCAGGATTTGATCCACAGATCCTTCAATTATTAATTAACTAATTCTTTATACACGGCAAAAAATACAAAAATTTACAATAATTCTTCATATTCTTTTCTATTTATAAAGGTTGACTGAGAAGAAATATGAGAAACAGTCCTCAAAATCCATTAGGTGATAAAGTATTATTCACCTCTTTTCTAGTCTGAGTACTACTGTAGAAACTATCAGCCGCCTGGACGGGTTAGTTAGTGACGCTGACTGCCGTACCGATGGGCCCGGGATTGAACTCTGGAGAAAGCATGGATATTTGTAAGAATATAGTATCTACGCGGTAAGGGAGCACTCAAAACAAACGGCGAGCCGAAATCCTCTCGAAACATTGATGGTTGAGGAGAGGTAGAAAATCCTCCGACCGCCCACGGGGCATTCTCGAAATTTCAAACTGGGGCGGAAGCTTAACAACTAGCTAGATAAAACAAACCTAAATAACCTATAACACTACAGAGGCGCAGGCCTAGTTTCTACCCATACCTGTAGAAGCTATCAGATTTTTTTTTTTTTTTTATAACACGAAACGTCAGAAATCAACTGTGCCCTCACTGGAGTTCAAAATTGTAAATGTCCAGTATCTGGACGTTTTGATCCTTTACATGATGACAGTATACACGAAGAAATTTGATAATTCTTTACAAGCTTATTTTGAAAGTCGTTTTCCTTTTTCAAATAGCAGTTTCTCCTCAACGCTACTCTGTGTCATTTGATGTGTTCTTTCGAGAGAACTACATACGAGTGCAAAAATAAAAATCAACATATCAATTTTTCAAATTAGTTCAAATTTTTCCTTCAAAGGAAAGACATTTTGCATTACTGTAATAGGAAAGATTATTCAATCCTTTTCTGATTTCAGTTTGCTTCTGCTAAAATTAATTTAAACCTATCTATACGTACTAAAATAATTACCTATAATTTTATATAATCATACTGATTGTATAAAACTGTGAAATTTTCGTTACATCAAGCTTTTCTGACCATTCACATTTTTAAAATGATATAAATCTGGACTTTCGACTTTTAAAAAATTTAGTTGAGGCTTTTAAGATTTCTTGAATTGTAACACACTCACCCCATTTTCATTTTGTACAGCGACCACGTAAGTGCTTAATTTTGCAGTCAAATTAAAGTTGACATGAGTCAGGAGTTGTTCTTCGTAAGTAAAAGAGTTAAATTTCCAGTTTTATTGTATCCAGGAGAATTAATTTTATGAAAAAGTCTTTAACTATCATTAATTAAATGCGGTTAGTTTGCTTGTTTATTCAATTGAATACGATAAATCAACTGGGAATTATCATTTCAGCGTTCGTGTTGTTTCGTGAATAGCTTATTATCACATTTCAGTGCTGTTTATGCTAACGTTTTCTTTTTGTTTGAACCGATGGTGCTAATCAGCATTGAAATGAAGCCAAAAGATTCATTTTTATTTTGTATTTCATTTTTATTTGATGTTATTGCGATCGGTTCATTCACTTCGATTGAGGCAGCTCAATGCATCTATATAGGATGTCTTCTTTCTTCCCAGTCTTCTTTGTTAATATTAAAAGATTAACTTTAGATTAAAGTGTTTGTAAATTAAAAGTAAAAAAATACTTAGATATAGAAGTACGACTAAAAATTACTCACGAAAATATATTCGCCATCTGATAATCCAACACCTCTTTATATTATTTTAACCACATACAGATTGTTCGTCACTCAGGCATTTTAACATATTCCAATTATCTGAACAACTACTAAGGCACTCTTTTTAACTCAGCAATAATAACGTCAATGAATGAATGAAATAACTTAGCTTGAATTGTCAATACAAAACGAACACATCATTACCTGAACTTTGTTATTATCAGTAATGATGATGTAATGCCAAATTCTGTAATTTAGATCGTTGGCAAAGTCTGCAATTACTAAAAGCTATTGGATTACGCAGAGAGATTACTGTAATAAAGTTCTATGAGTTTTGTGCTGACTTAAGAAATGAGGAATGAAGTTATTTTTAACGTACTAATTTATATTATTTATTCCAGTTCGGTGCTGGATGAAGACTTGAACAAAAGCCATTGGAGACATATCCGATCCTCAAATCGGGAAGAAGTATTACAACCTCAAGAAGAACTTTCGGTTAACCAACTGCAGCAGAGGTATGGCAGCTTCAGAGAAGTAGATGAAGAAGGGGAAGAACCCAGAGTTGAGTCTTCAGTAGACTGGAGTAGTCAGTGTTTAATAACACCAAAGCCTATCCATCTGGCTGCAATTTCTGATACAGAGTCAGAGAGAAACACGTATTCTCCTCATCCGTTATCCGGGTCAAGGAACTGGAATAATGCATCGCAAATGAAACACTCAAAAAACGTTTCCTCTTATCCAGCACGCGGCAAAACGAAAGGAAAGTTGCAGTATTTCAGCGAACGAGCACCTGATTTGACAACGCAATGTGGAAAGCTAACTGAAACTAACCCAAAATTTAGTGACGGAAATACCTCAGAGTATATTAAACCTTACATAAGTGCAACAGAAGGAAGCTTGGAATCACTAGACAAATATGAAACGGCTATAAGAGACGAAGATCTTACTTTTAGTGATGAACAAAACGAACGCCAGTATTACGATTGCACGAAACATTTAGAAACATTTTCGGAATTCGAAGAAGATCTGAAGCAAAGGAGCTCGAAACAGATACAGTCTAGTAGCCATTCATCCCCTCACGATTGCATTTCGGACAACATCGACAAGAATAAGGAGACAGCTCATCCTAGCACCAGTACTTCAGAATACAATAATCGATCCACGCCTGGATCTCCAGATATTTCCAAATATAAATACAAAGGTACAAAAGGATTTGGAAGAACAAATCGTTTAGGTTACTCTAAAAAAGAAGATGAAGAAAGACTTGATTATAAATCTCTAAGAAATTTAAACAATAACTCCAGTGTTAGAAATATTACTCCACAAGTTGAATTGTAACATTAGATTCTTAGATACTTATATGCTACTTTTCAGGTAATCATCACACGAAACCATTAGAGGAAGTTACGCAATTTATATTTTTCATATTCAGAAAGAAGCCATCCAATAATTCACTGCAATAAATATATTATGTAAAAATTTGTGTAATTTCATTTTCAGATTAACATTCAAAATTTTAAAAAAATCTTATCCAACATATTAGTACCTATCGTTATGATTACTATGCTTCACTTTATTAGAATACTAAAGATATATAAAAACTTTCCTTTATATCCTCACTACCATAAAAATTTGCGCACCAATAAAGACTTATCAGAATCAAGAGAATTTTATATTTATGAGTCATATGTGAATAAGGTTGCTATAAGTAATTGATTATAAAATCAAAGCAAATGGATCATTTATTATAACTAAAAATAATAAATGGAGATTCTAATACGCTATTGATGTAATTGTATCATGAACGTACGATGCAATACAGCGAGATTTAGAGGCACACAGAATCCTTGGCTATCCATCTTACCACCTCTAATTACAGACATGCTTGATCGGTGAGAAATCTGGGCATCAAACAGGCTAGGAAAGGATGATAATATGGCGCAGTCATTTCTGTAACATCCTTACTCTGTGTACCTGAGCATTAAACTGTTGAAAAATGCCCCCTGGGAGTACTCTTATGAGTGGCAACACTTGTGGCTGAAGGATGCCCAGAACATACTGTTGGGTTGTCATGGCACTATGGATCAGTATCCCATACCATCACATCAGCTGAGATAGCTTATTCCGCAGTAAAGCGAAAGTAGGGCAGGTGTTCACTTGTGGCTTCCAAGCACTAAATGTTATTAACAGAGCCCAAACTGAATCTTAGTTCATCGCTGAAGGCAACCTGTTTCCATTCAGTTGCGGTCCAGTCCCTTCGAGCGCTACAGCACTCCTACCGGAGGCGATAATGGGCAGATATGTCATTGGCAGAATCCGAAATGAACACCAGCGGTGCCAAATACCTTTAACCAGGCGACTTACGGTAGGATAGACTCAGGGGCCCATATTGAAAGTGCTGCCTGTGCCCGGATGGCTGACAATGATGCAGTTGGAGTTGTGTGTGCCTATCAAGTGACTGTTTTAAAGAGTATTGATCTGCCGACGGTATTCTGAGTCTGGCCGCCGTGTATGCGACTTGTCTTATGTCCACTAGTCCCAAAACCTTTTTACAGTCTTCAATCTATGGCCTATGTGGTGTAGTCTTCAATCTACGGCCTAGTATGCGGCGGGCTGCTAGCCGATCTTAGCACCCGCCTTCCAAAATCTCTGAATATAGCACTGAATACAGCATCCGAGTTCAGATGCCAAAACCAGCAGACAGAGTAATTGTCATTTTTAATAAATTAGCACACATTCCTAAATTCTTCAGCTAGGCCTATATCATTTGGATTCATATTCTTTTGTTGCAGTTATGAAATAGGAAATCAGTTTGGTGCTTTATAGTCTCATACCCTTATTCGCAAGCTGACAGTAATGCTTTTGTAGGTATCCAGCAGTTTTTGTCTTATCTTATGAAATAATTCTTTCATAGTATTGTTACGAATTTGGTATTTAAAAAGCTAATATTAGTTCAATTATAAATTAATTGGTTTTATTTCTCGCGCAGTGCAGCGCGTGACGAATATTAAAGAAGCTAAGCCGGAAAATTGAAAATACAAGAGCGCGGCATTAATAAATAATATCTCTTTTTGATTTC